TACTGTGTGTGCAGACAAAACGTGGTAGAAGAATGGACATGTTCTTTAAATTGCTCACTTTTTGTTGAAATTGATCAGTTCCTGGAAATTTTGATTTTGTAAACTGAGAAAAAAGGGTAGCCCCTTGCTTTCAAGTAATCTTTTTTTGTTTTGGGACTCTACCTTCCTTTTATGTTAGGTATAAAGTGATTGTTTTACTCCTCTGTTGATCACAGGTCAGAGGAAGATAAAGTTAAGCCGACCTGATCTCAACAGAAGTCAAATTCTTTCTCTATATTCTTTCTCTATCATGTTGGTTTATACCAACTAAAATTTGTATTTGTTCTCTCATACATTTACTCATTTTTTCTATTTTAAAAGAAAAAAAACATGTTCATTGAAAATTGTCCTTGTCATTACTGGGAGGGGGCCAAGGCCTACATTCAAATTCAAAGGGCAAAAAAACAACTGGTCACAGATGTTCTCAAGGCCATTGGAATAATCAGGACTGTGAATGTGTTTGCAGTTTCCAAATCTGCTGAAATAACCTCATCTAATTCCTGTCATGAAGTTTAGATGACTGATGAAGTTACAATATCAAGAATCTAGCATGGAAACAATTTAGCCTGTTAATGACTTTGTTCCCCTTCATAATGAATCCGTATTTTTTGGCACTTGGCGTTCGCACAAACATTATTTCTTTCATAATGAATTGAAAACTTTAAATATTAATTTGGATATCCGTGTATTCATAATTTACATAACTTTACAAGTTCAGTGCCACGATATTTACATGGGGTACACGCTGTCTCACATGTATCGCCTTTAATCAGGTTATTGATAACATACAAAACTAAGTAAATCTGGATTATAAAGGGAACAAGGTGACGGCCACAAGTTTGACGATTATTTATGCCCCTATTCACTCTGATTGCAGCTTTTCAAAGCCCATCAGCCATTTTATACGTGTCACACATCTGTTTGTAAGCAGACGTCTGCTACTCTTTTACAAATAACAAAGCCTTCCTTTTCCTTTCCAGGTCACTGACATCAACACTGGTGATCAGTGTTTGTTTTGTGTGTGTGTGTGTGTGTGTGTGTGTGTGTGTGTGGGAGGGGGAGTAGCGTGTGTTTGTGTGTGCTTTTTACTTTGGGAAGTTTTATGACACAGGCACTGTATGCTGATATTTACAAGATACATTATTATCCTATGCATTGCAACAACTAAATTATACAGATACGTTTGGAAACAATTGAAATGTTTTAATGTAGTTTGTGAATACTGTGTCAGACAGCCACACAGTGCCGCTCTGTTTAGCTCAGCAGCTTAAACCTCTTCTCTGGGGAGAAGTCCTACTTTCTCCCCGCACTCCTCTGGGCTGGCTTAATCTAACTTCCCCTCTCTGCCTCTACATACGAATCTCTGATCAAAGCTTGGCAAGAATAGCATTGTCACCCACAGCAAATCAGTTTTGACAAAAGTGAAACAGAGGGAAAGTTGGAGCATGAGGAATTACTCCGAGGCTCCTTAAGGAGATTCATGCTCATCAGTTGTTATAGTTGCAGTAGGACCTGGGATTCAGATCATGGAAATAGATTCTGTTTACAGCGTGCACAGTTTGTGCTGCTGACAATAACAGGGAATTCAAGAACACGTGAGTGAGATTTTGAGTTGAGATTTTAGTATGTGATTTAATTTATGAGTTGAAGTGTAAATTACTTTCATCAGCATTCTGACACAGTTTACTGAGACAAAAACATCAGGTCTCTGACACTTACCCCTGAATTAAATCACATCCACCAGCAATATGGGTCCTGAAGTTTTTCAAGATTACTGTATATTGATTTGAAAGCCTTTTGTCACAACCTTTTTCAGCTTGAATAGAAATGCAATGACAACTACCATGTAAATCCTACAATAAACACCTCACTTGAATTGTGAGCACATAATTTTCCCTCATTATTAATTCAAAAACAGGTTTGGTAGTTGAAATATTTTTGTCTATACAGACAGTTATTTATTAAAAAAATTGAAAATCATACAGATCCTTTATTTTAATTCAATTAAAAAAAATACACCTTTAACCATATTTTGTATTATCTGAATTAACCATCTACTGCGTAAAACATTTTACGTTACTGAGTTTCTTTTCAATGAGATGCTGTTCTAAAAATAAATGAATAACAGTTCCAAATGCAATAAGGCTATTATCTGGGACAAAGGTTTCAGCTATTTCTGGGGGATAAGAAGTTTCACAGATATAAATCTGAGATGTTTTTGGAACCTTACAGAAATCAGTGAGAGCAGTCAGCCCTTCTAACATAAAGGAAGATCTGGATAGATGGGACAGTGACATTTAGAAATAACAACTGAATTCTGTATTGATCAGCACAAGACAAGCACAACAAGACACATTCACAAGGATACTTCAATGTAACTCTGTGTCAAGAAGAACTACAGACATGATTCAAAATAACCTAGAAGTTTTGTTCATTAAACAGTTTGCAAATTTTAGCAGGGAGAAAGCTTCTATACTATATTTACTTTTTTAAGTTGAATTTGATTGATAATTCATATATGGATCAAAGTTTAGCAGTTATAGCTTTGCACTAAAACAGCTGAATTCTACATAAAGAGCTGTTTTCAACTTTATACTCAATGTACTGTATATTCAAAAGCCTGTTCTCAATTAACTGAAGCAAAAAACATGGCTTTAGGATTTCCTGTCTTTCCTTTCTCCAAATTGAAGAAATAATATGTATAGTTTTGTGTGGCAACCTCAATGAAAAATCAAATCAATGAAATCTACAAAGAGGGATGAAAGAAGAAAGGTAACAGGTTACATGTCATTTGTCTTGACAATGTCACAGTGATGTCTCTAACAGCTGTGTGCCTGTATTAAAATCGCCCTTTTTCTCTTGTCTTGTACTCTGACAGTCTATCCATCTTGCTGTTTTTTGGCACCAATTGAAACATCTCTGCCTCTGGAGTGTCAGTCCTCCTGTCACTGTTATCTTCCTTCGTCTCATCAGCATCCCTGTTTGACATTGTAACTTATTGAAATGTGTTACTTGAAAGCTAATGTATACTTCTCATTTATTAAGAACTGTTGCTTCTGAAAAACATATTTCATGGCTGAATTACCCTAAACCTTTTTTTTAGGATTCATTGGCCTCGACACAAAAATAAAGCTCCATTTGAATTGTCACATTATTTGGGATCTTAGCGGCAAGGGTAATGAGCAGGTATAGAAATTAATCACCTCCTGACGTACCATTATCACTGACATTTGGCTCCCTGAGCATCTGGCCAGAGGTTCTGGTATCAGTCTTGAATAAAACATTAACCCAGCCCATTTCCTGTCTCCATGACCACTGAGGATATCACTTATTTGGAGTCTGATATTCATCATTTGTCTGATAATTATTATTATAACTAAACTGAATACTTTTATCATTTTGGGGAAATATGTGTTAAAATGGACTGAAGGTACAGCATTGTAGTGTAGTGTAGCTCACTATGTCATCAAAAAATCATTGTGAAATGTGGGATTATGTGAGCAATACCATCCTTCTGTTTGCATTATATTTATATATATATTTATGTGTATATATATTTGTCACTCATTCATCTGATCCACTTCATTGATTCATTTTGTTGTCAGCTGAATCACAGCTTGTGCCTTTCTTATGATATGATAGCACAGTAGGAAGCTTGTCTCCAAGTAATGAGTGGCATTATCTGGAATCAATGATTACATCAGTTAAATCCCCCATGAGCAAAAACAGCAAAATTATCTAATTACAAGCTATGTTTCATCAAGGGTAACCGCACCATATGGAGAGATTTTTTTTTCCGGCAATGGTTGGTTACATTTGGGAAAAGACATGGAAAACTTCAAATTTAATGAATTTGGCATGACATTTTAATGGGGCACCGAGTTAAAGAATATGAGCCCCAATGGCAACAGTTCTTGCAAAAGCAATATGTGAATGATAGTAAACAGATTTGAAACAAAACATGCCCAAAAAAATTCTGTGTTCATGAGATGCAATATTTGGTTCTTGCTTTCAATATCCAGTCCCTTCACTTCACAATATACAGATCAACTTTGGAGGAAACTAAAAGAATATCCTAAATAAATGGGAAACATCCTCAATGAGGCATCTTTAATTCAGTAACTCAAACTTGCACAGATCATTTCAGTACTCTACAACATATAGTCTCCTCTTGTCATATGAAGAAAACTCAGAAGTCCTGACGTCCCCAATGCAAATTTACTATTTGCGTTTACAGTGCAGGGTACACTATAAGCACACATTTCCCAGCTCATCTCCTTTTGTTTAACCAGATCTTTTGTCTCGAGGTGAGCCCCAAATTAATCTTTCTTTAATCACAAAGTCAAAAAGAATTTACTGTAAAGAAAATGCGAGATAGAAAATGGCTTCAGAGCAAGACTATAAAAAAAAACACTCATTTATTAGCCGCCAGTCACAAATCCAATGTGGAGTAATTCACTGCTGGGAAATTAGGCATTGTGGTTATGTGAGGGGTCTCATTTCATTAGGAGGATTTGCAGGTGTTCACCCAAGCTAATTAACTGCTCATTAACAGCGAACGGATGGTTCGGCGGCTGTCAGAGAACATACAGCCACAAGTGCTGTTTGTTCTCCTGCTAGGTTTAATCTTTCCCCAGTGGGTAGTTAAAACGGGGTGTTGCAGACAGTGTTGATTAATCTGGTGATGCTTGGTACAGTAATCTACAGTTCTCTTGTGCCTGATCTGTCATCTCTTTGTTCTTGTTAAGTTTTCTGTTTCATATATCTGAACATTTTTACTTTTTCATCCCTATTCACAATCTAAAGCCGGCTGTCATTTTTCATATAGATCCATTTTTATCAGTGATTTAAAGCACAAACTGTCCTTGTCAAGCTCAATACATGTTTTTCTTGTTCAGATCCATTTCTCTCAACAATAATGGAAAGTAATGGAAATTTCTTATCACGCGGAGCACTTTGAGTTCACAATGTCCTCTGCTCTCTCTCTTTCTCTTCATATGTTTACCAGGCATGGCTGACAGAGATCCATGAATACGCCCAACAGGATGTGGTGCTCATGCTGCTTGGAAATAAGGCAGGGCACTGTAAACTGTCACTATAATACATCATTCAAAAAAGAACTTTACATTTTAACACAGCATTTAACTCTTATTTGCTGGTTAATGTTGCTTATCTTAGATCTGGTTATGCTGAGTTTTGGATATGTGAGCCTTTGTTTGTCTCACCAGGCGGATGCAACTCATGACAGGGTGGTGAAAAGAGAGGATGGGGAGAAGCTTGCTAAGGTAAAGAGAAACAGTGTCAGGGAAATATCAACCGAGTTTGAGTAAAATGTGGTTAGAATGTAAACCACATCTCACCCATGAGAAAGATTCCAGATTACAGCTACAATCTAAAACATATAGCAGCAAAGGGCACAGACTGATGCACTTGCTCTCTTAAAGATAATGATAAAACCTTAATTAATAAGTAATTATAAATAAATAAGATAATATACAACAATTGTTCTGCTAGGTACTTCACACATAATCACAGACAAGTCTGTGTGTAAAGCGTGTCTGTGTCTGTTATATTTCACCCTGACAGCTCATGCTGAGCTGTCAGGGTAAATATCCATCATTACTTTGACTCTACAGGAATTTGGGGTTCCTTTCATGGAAACCAGCGCCAGGTCAGGTCTTAATGTGGAACTGGCTTTCCTGGCTGTCGCCAAGTGAGTATATTTCTCTTCTCATCAGGAATAAGATAAAGGATACCAATTGTATCATTATTTTCTACACCACGGCTCCAATACCTGGTCAAAACTTCAAATTGCTTATCTCATAAACAGCTAAAGACTTCACCTGGTGGATCAATCGAGCACTACACTCAGAAATACTCGGTTTAAATTATTCCTGATTATATTCCTGATTATTATCCCTATTTGTCTCTTCGCAGTTTAAAATATGACAATTAAAATGCCATCATTTTAAGGCTAACAATGTTATTCTGTCTAAATTATATCTCATAACTTCCTCTTGCCTATTTCCAGGGAGCTGAAACACAGGTCCATGAAGGATCCTACTGAAAAGTTTAAGATCCAGGAGTATGTAAACAAAGAGGTGAAAAGTGCTGGCTGCTGCAGGTCCTAAATGGCTTAATGTCTGTGTGTTGATCACTCATCTTTACATTGTATGCCATCATGTTTGGACCTATCAGAGATGAGGAGGCGCTTAAATAAGGTGTAAACTTGTTGTTTCCGCCCTCTCAAACTTCTATCAAATGACACACCACCCACATCTGCTGCTCATCTCTCCTCTTTCTGTAGCTGTGAATGTAGCCCAGCATTATGATTTCAAAAGAAAGACACAGAAACCTTTTGTTAATGGACATTTTCATCTCTAACTGTATCTCTACACTTGTTTTTTGACCTTGAATTGTAATACGTTAGCTTATGTGGTTTAATAACAAAATAACTAAAGGTGCATGTTTTGCAGTCATTTATTTTCCCACGTGTACTTAGAAGGTCATTGGCAGCTTTTGTTAGAATGCCTCTAAAGGATCTCCTGTAGATGTTTTGTGGTGTGCACAGTTTCAAAAGGCTCCCAGAAGCCTGTTTAGGTCACCAGCATAAATACAGAATTTTCTATTACAGAGCTTTGGATATCTAGTAGAACGTGTTTCTCAAATCCCTGTGTGAGGTTTTCAACCTGTCATGGATGTTCCCTCCTTTCACCGAATGACAGCTGGGATAGGCTCAAGCAGCGCTGCAACACTGAATTAGATGAAAGTGTAGAAAATGGATAGATGGATGGATGTGTTAGTGCAACACACTGCAAACACAAATAGATGTTGTTATTTTGGACACAAAAGTGCTGAATAGAAAGAAATGTAATCGATTCCAGTATCCAGTACTTGAAATGCATTTACTGACATGTGCCATGGACTGGAAACATCTCATACCAATACATTTTTGTACATTGTTTGTGAAATAAAAGTATAATCATCAAACATACTTTATGCAATCTGCATAAAGTTGAGTTTTGACAGATGTGCTGTAAATGCTTAGCCCGTTCTTTCTGCATGTAAAAGACTGTCAGTGGAGGTGAATTGCACTTTAGGTTGGAGAAATGGGTGAGGCCGAGGACAACTGCAGTTACCTAAAGTGTAATATATGAAAAATATATGTGTGTATTTAAATTTATTTGATTTTTGGCCATAGGCAGTTGTATAAGGCTGATCTAAGGCATTTTTTTCATTCATTACTATACAGTCGGGCTGATTTGTGCCATGCTTTCTTACAAACATTTGAACTGGTATTGTTATCATTTTTGGGCAGTATTACCAATTCCTCATGAAAGACGTAGGCCTCTTTTTATATGACTCCTTCATTTATAGGTGATAACCGTATAAATGTAACATCTCTCAGTGCAGCTCTTACTGTACATTCTCGTGTGTTTTCCCCCTTCACATTCAGGGTATTGTCTTTTTTGTTTGATAGTATGTTTGGCTGTAGTTCAATGTGTAACTTATTTCCACAATTAAAAACCAATTCAAACCTTTGCGTTACAGTCGTGCTTTTAATGCTGGCCATATCTCATATCCACTTACACAAATTTCTGTAAATTACTCTTCAGGTTTGAATACAAGAGTCATCTCCACCATTGTGGTGCTTTTTAAATAACATCCTCATAAATTTCTCTTCATGACTTGCGCAACTATTTTAAATTAGGTTAATAAGCTGCTGATGCCTGGGTTTCTATGGCATTCAGGTGAAGTTTAAAACTTTTCATTTGTCTCCCTCTGCTGGATGAATAATTATAATCAACAACAATAATCATGTGACAATAAGTGACAATAAATGCTATATTAGCTCACTGCTTAATGTTGACAACAGAAAAAATAAATACATACTAAAAGTGAAATGTCACTGTACCCATACATAATGTAAAAAATAATACAGACATGTGTGACATAGACACATACTTGACTGCTGATACCTTTAAAATAACATTTAGCTTTTCCCACGGCAATTTGCTCATAGAACTGAAATGGAACCTAAAATCAGCTGGAATACATATCAGCAAATATAATTGCTGTTGCTTATATAATAGAGAAAAACACAACATCTTTCCACATTTAAACAGCAAGAGTTGTGAATTTTTCCAACAAAACCACTGCATTCTGGTCAGCATGACCATAATATGCATTTCTCTTTCACATCACACAATAGATGAGTGGGTTAGGCTGACATTCATGAGCTTAGGAGTGACTGACTACAGCTAGAAGAAGACAGTCTGACATGTAATGCAGGTGAGGTTCAGAAGGGATGCCAGTGGAGGATGAGGGGTAGTTGTCTCACCTTCTGGATATTTTCTGTCCCCTTTCAGTTTTAAGAAGGTCTTCTACTGTGACATGCATCAACAGAACTTCAAGATCAAGTTCAATCATGGCTTGTGCTTAAAATATGCTTCTACTGTGAAAGAGAAAAACAATATTTCAGAATGATACAGCAAAAAGAAAAAAAGCTGAACTTCTATTTCAACGTACCTGCATACTCTTTTGGCATCATTGGTCTGTTGATGACAGTTTGAAATGCTGTAATCCACTCTTTCTGATCCGTTTCGGTTTCGCATGCAAAAAGGAACTTCCTATCCGGTGTAACAATTGTAATTCCAAACTGCCAATGGTAGCCTTGAACACCGGGAGGATACCCAGGAAGCACAGTGTAACTGTTTTCCTTACTGCCAATGAACACCTCACCTCGTGCATAGGCGTCCTGTGAGAGGCAAAGATGGACATCAATTTCAGAAACACTGTTGAGTAATATTTTGAGGGGATTTTCTTGATTTAAGATTATTACTGTATGTGTCGTGTACCAAAGAAACTGCCTAAATAGTTTGTTAATTTTTTCTTCAGGTCTGTGCATCATTGTGTCTGTGTTTGTACGAGACTGAAATGTATGAAGTGCAGACAAAAAGGCCCCAACGATGGCCTTTTTTCTTCAGATGTGCAACTGTACTACCAGTGGATCTTTGAAGTACATGAGCCTCCTGTCATCCATAGTGAACCATCTCTTCTTGAAGCCCTCTGTGTGCTGAAATACACAAACAGAAGAGGTTTCATTACACTTTGATGACAACCTTCTAAGCCCTATCTTTTATATTACCACATCACGTGTGGATGACAAAATACAACAAAAGAATAGCCAGACGGATCACCTTTGGACCAGTCTTCTCCATATAACCCTCCTTAATGTAGTTTCTGGTTAGCTTTGGTAACAACTACACAAATGAAAAAGCAGAAATATATTCAGTGAAACACTGTAACCAAACGTACATTTACAAGTATCATCCAGAAACTTGGAAATGTGCTCAGATCACAATTATTCATCTTAAGGATTATTCTTCCTCTTCAAACTTTGCCTGATTTTTTTTAGATCATAAACTTTTCATTTAACTGAATAAATAGTAACCTGTGCAGGAAAAATATGCTCAACATTTCCATTCATCCACAAACGTCTGGAATCAGCTAATTCACAAATATGAGCAATATTTCAAATCTCCCAATCTCCTCCTTAAAACTTCATCAAATATACAGAGAACATGCTCAGTGTGTGCACATTTGTATGTGGATGAATACTGACTTCAGAGTTCAGAGCCCCAGGAAAAGCCACCTGAAGGTAATGAAACCTGGCTGCTCTGATGGCATTGAACCAGTCCACCATTTCCTTAAGGACAAAACACCAGAAGCTAGATTAAGTTCTTCACAAAGTCACATATATCTGCATCTGTCATTAATCACTTCCAGCATTACAAACTTGACATCGTATGCGACAAAATGTCTAATTTAAAGAAATATATGGTAGAAATGTCAGTGTTTAACTAGTAAATTAGGGGAGGCTTGTCATGTCAAACCTCTTCTACTAGGGGGACATAAATAAATTATAAATGAATACATTCCTGTCTTTAACTAACACATAAAGCCTTCTTTCTCATTTCCCATTGTAAACTACAAACACCTTACCTTCCCGTCCTCATGGTAAACAAAGATATTCCTGGTGCTGTTGTCCTTCAAATAGGTTATCTGCAGTCCATGAGCAGTTCCGATTTTAGTTGGCTGGAAAGTTGCATTCACAGTATTGATCTTCATTATTGCTTTGGGCTCTCTGGCCTGCAATAAGGAACAATTTTTAATGGTTGTATGGTGTTTTATGGTCTTTTCAAGCCTGCAAAATATTCTTTGCATGTTAGAATAATTAGAAACAGGTGTCATTTCACTTCAGAATGACTATGCTTCAGACACTAGTAACTTTTACTCTGAAGCTCATAAAATTGGAGACAGCTAAGGTTCCTAGAATAAAAAAGATATTTGTTAAGGGACAAAGATCTATAAAGCACTTACGTCATGCTTGTTAAAATATTTCAGAACACCCTCGCGTTCAGACAGAATAAATTTTCGACTGAGGTATTGTCCATTGTCTCTTCCTCGTTTCCATAGAAACCCTTCCCTGTACCCTGCCAAGAGGAGACTTGTACAGTTAGCAATCAACAAGTGAGTAATCACAATATTTATCAGATTTAAATAAACACAATGATGTGAATCCCAGGACAGAAGTTACATATGCATGGACTGAAAAAATAAAAATAAATAAATAAATGAATAAATAAATATCCATTCAACCACAATTAAGAGCATTTTTTTCTCTTGCAAGTCAAATTAAATCTGATAAATGCAAAATTAGGGTTCTAAAATTACATTTAAAAACATCATTTTTTCTTATAGGCTCTGAAAACTCTGATCATCCTTGCCAAGAGGCTTTCACGGTAGTTTACTGGACTCTTACTTCAACTCATAATGTATGAGGAGAGTATCCAGTCAACTGTTCCACATTGAATCTGATCAAATAGATCAGAACATTGTTATCTTCTGCAAAGGCATTCTAATGACACACTGATATGTCATTAGAATGTGTGTTCCTGTTTGTTTTTTCACATTTTCCTGCTCCAATGCTCACTGTATTCTATGAGGATCAGGATTGGGAAACACTGATTCCCAGACTTGAACAAAAGGTACACTAAAAAAGTCTGGGCATTGTTGCATTATACACTAGAACACTTACTATAGCTGCTGATGTTAAAAAGAAAATTTCCCACACTGCTGTTTATTTGTGCAATAGTGTGAGAATAAAACAAAACAAGAAGCAACAACTTAATCTTTTATTAGATGGGCATAAAAAACCCAGGTGCACCACAACCCCAAAACATGTGGTACTTATTAGCTTCAATGTGTCTCTGTGCGTAGTTTGTTTTCTACATGCACATCTTTAGTATTTGTGGTTATAATTGTTCAAACCTCAAATGTTATTGAAGGAAGAATATATCTTGTAAATATGAAGGATGGCCATTTGAACACATACTAACACAGGCCTTTCCTCTGCTCCTTGGATCCTTCCTCAAACAAGTCACTATGCCCATATTTAGCATGATCCAGCAGAAACAGCACACAGTCGTGCACACATTTACACACTGGTGCAAAAAATACACAGAGATAAGCTTCAGGAATTCCATAATTTCTCTCAAATAAATGCTAGCTTATAGGAAATAAATTGCCAAAAGAAAGCATGTGCTCTCGAGCTTTATTCCATTATAATATCATCATAATGTCTCAGCTCTGTGAATGTATTTCAAGGGAATTTCGATTAAAAAAACATGCAAATATCTTTTTGGATACATTTTCTTTAAACCAATTCAACTCTGGTAGGATCACTCATGGTATCAGAGCTCAAAAACGTAGTGGTTTATTTTCATAAAGATGTGGTACTGCTCTGTTGTTTCACAATTGTCTTTCATTACACAGGAGTTTTCTCAAAGGACATTACATCTGAAACAACTGAACTAAACCACTTCCCCTTTGACACACCGTACAAAAAAGCCATTTCCTTCTAAAGAAACCATTTGCTTCTATAGTAAAGTGCCCCAGTCAGTTACTGGTATGAGATAAGGTAACATGAAGTATATTTCTCTTTTGTCCTGTGAATCCACCTTATAACTAAAAACCTAATATGCACCTTTCATACTCTCCCTCCCCTCAGTATTCTCATTAAATTATCACCACAGTCTGAGGCACAGACAGCAGTAAACTCCAGTTGAGCAACGGTTTCATCAATAATTCATCAGACTTTTTTTCTACTACTGAAAGGGCTGGGTCAGTCTGCCTACAACAAGATAACACAGCAAAGGAGAAAAGAAGTCATTCATTATACCAAAAGATGTCAAAGATTTGCAAACATTTCAGCGAAAACAAGGAAGTTTTGAACCACAGTACAGGCTCACTGAGGGTCCTTCATAGATCAATACTCGGGATTTTTGGCTTGAAATCTATGAGCAGCATTATATAGAAGTCTTTTACACACAAAGAGGGCATTCTTTTTCAGTGGCAGATACACATAGCCACATGCTCCTAAACCTCTCCACAGTGTCACACAACAATCCATTCACATAGAGACACAATGTTCATCAGTCATGAGACGCTGATACCAGCAAAATTTTCACACTACCTGTAGGTGAAATAAGAATTTAACTCTCTGCAGTCAAATATTCTCTTCATACTTAATCTGCACAATCTACAAAATAGAGATTCCACAGTCTTAAATAAAAAATCTGCACAACTGTCTTTCGTTGAAAATAAACAACATTGCAAATGTTGAAATAACTTTGTCAAATGCAGTTAAGATGCATTTGACTCATTAGTCATGCTATAACCAAAAAGGAGCAGCGTTAATTTAATATCACAAATTGTTTCCATATCACATAAATTCCCGCATGGCATGTGCATTTCACCAAAAAGTCAAAGACATAACCCAACCTAAACATCCAGTTCAGAAGCTGGAGCAACACAGTAATCTTCTTACAGTCTCTAAGAAAAATGCTCATCGAGAAAGCTTTCTTTAACAGATGTTAAGCGACTTCCTGTTTCTGGCACAGAGGGAAACAGTCAATTAAACCTGATAGAAAGCCTGGTTGGTGATCATCTTTTTTCCCCACAGCTGAACATTTAGACATGTTTAACAGCTTCCTGTCTTCCTCTGAAACTGCTAAATGCTGATATGAGGCGTCAACAGAGAAGTGTGTCAGAAAATTCACACACACACATATTTGCAAACATATTTATATATATATACATACACACAAATTTACATATGTGTACATAGTGACGTTGTGGCAGTCCTTTACATCAAATGAACTGGAACCAGGAACCAATGTGATTCCCAACAGTTATCTTGACTATGCCAAAAGAGGCATTTGAAATGTAAATAGAAGGCAAAGGAATTACAGCCTTTTATCATAGCCTTCAATTCAGTTGGATTATGGTTGTCTAGTTTACATATAACAAACCCAAATGTGCACCAAAATAGTTTATATGTAGGATTAGATTAGATAGGATTACAGAACCTGGTGGTTTGAATTAAGATGACAAGTTAGAACTAGGGTTCTCTATTGTTTATTATCTGATTCTGGATTAGATGGTGAAGTCTACTGCCTACCAATGAAGCTACAAAGCAGTGGAAGTGAGAAGTTTGAGGGAGATGAGGGTTGTGTAAAACAAATTTTAAGGTCAAATTATGATAAAGTAAACACTAAAGAAAACAGGACACAAAGTTGTTTTCACTTGATGTGCCTGCATCATAAATCAAATTGCCTCTATAATTGTTCTCATAAGCAGCCAGGCAAGATGACAAGCATGTAGATGCAAATTAACAGCAGGTGATGGTGCCCACTGGGATCCAACAAGTTATTTCACATCGTACACTTTAGAGTCAATACCACACCAAGCAGTACTTCCTGCAAGTAGTTTATGGCCATGCAAAAAGATAATGTGTTTATGCACAAAAATATATAGACCCACCTGCAGAGTAAGCCTCCTGCCTCTCCACACACAAAAACTCCTTCCTGTCATATTTGGCTCGGATCCACTGGTCCCGCAGGAGGCTGCAAAGTAGAGACTGTGAGACACTAAAGTCCACCTTGATCTGATTATTATTTCATGATTCAGACGATTTATTGAAAACATAGTAAATTTCCTAAATGGAAAGTTTCCGGGATTTCTTATTTAAGATACAATTTCTTCCATCACTGAAGTCTCCCTTGACCTCCAGCTTGCCTGATATTGATAACATTACTCATTCTGTCATATCTTGTGTCTTCGGCACTGCGGTCAGGCTGAATTATCATATTATGATCCATTTTTACAAATACAGATCATTTCAATATAGATTGCATTCTGATTTGCTTTCAAAATGTACTGGAAAGGGACTTCCAATTCAATGCATGCTTTTTGCTTTATCTCTGTCCACTCACTAACTTATTTGCTATGTTTCTTATATTAGGTATTATATCAAGTCCATACCAAGTTTCTGAATTGAAAGCTCTGTGGTTTTCTCTTCAGAATTATTATTTTTATCACTGGATCATGAAACCCAAACCGTCAAACAGTTGCTTCCTGCTCATATTGGAACATTCTTATTTTTGTAAAGTCTCTGCAATGCATCCTTTAAAACTGAAATTACTTGCTGATGATGGTGTCCCTTTGTGGAAAAATATTTTGAGCTGACAATTTTTCCCTACATACAAAGTGACTTCCAACATATAGATGCAGCAGGTTGTCTGATAACCCTTAACACAAATGCAACATGATTAAACTAGCATGAAATTTGCTTTTGCAAAAATTTATTTCTTACATCATGCTTAAACTGCCTTTGAGAATAAGATCCACCTGGACGTGTATTCATAGGAGTTAAAAAAATTCTATATAAACATAAATTAAAGATTTAATCAATGTTTAAATTGTATTATGACCGTATCTTCTCATATATCTTGCATTTGAAAGTGAGAACCTGTACTGCATAAAAACAATAGACAGACCTGAGTCAAACAATATAGCTGCAGTACTTACAGGCAGTCTTTATATGTGGGACAGTAGAAGAAGTCAGGAACTTTCTGTTCATATTTGGCCTTAGCTGTGCTGTTCCCTACAGACTCCATAAACTGCAACAGAAAACAAACAAAGCAGTTTTTTTTATCACAAAGACCTGGTAAAATAATCATCGGAATAAACGTATTCTTTGAATCCATATGTACACCAAAAACCTGTTTATACATGCCTACAATAGCAGCAACACAGCCCATGTTTCAGTACCACTCATTCTCCAGAATACCGCCATATGTTCTTTGGCCTGGCTTTAAGTGGTCAAAGTTCTTCAGACTGAATGAGATTTAACTAAATATTAGACAGATGGTCCTATATTATGACTAAGCGCACATTCCTCTGCAGCTATGTCGCGTGGTGGCAGAAACACATGGCTCCTTAGGCAAAGGTATGCCTCTGATATGTATCTGCAGTTTCTAGAAACATTAACTTTAGACTTTAAAGAACTCCAACTGGTCCTCAGCTGGGAGGATGGCATATTTCGGATGAGTCTTGGGATTCTGGGACTCACTGCTGAACCCTCTTGTGAGGCTATGGGTCTCTCAGCAAACGTTGAAGAAGAGGAGTGCCCAACCCAGAAAGGCACCATCACTCATGTAACTCCCCCCTACCCCCATCATCACTACCACAGAGCCCAAAGAAAGCCCTGAACAATCCCTGTTGAACATATAAACATGGCGTACAACACGTGCTCCGTGTATGGGTAGCTGATCCTTTAACCAAAAAGAGATGGGAGAAAGTCCTGCTAACAGGGAAACCTTTTCAAATACAGGGAACTGCACACAAAAAGAGGTAAAAAGAGGAAAACCATGTGAAAACACTAAGGGTTACTAGATCTACCTTATTAAAAAATTAAGAATATTTTTTTGTTTGTGCGGTATTTTTTCTTCACAATAAATGTGATTTTAGAAGGATTTCTAAAGAGTCCCACACAAAAACCCCTGGCAGAAATACACAAAGATTGTGGTTGTGTTTGCCAGCTGCTGGCTCATGCTTTTCAATCCAAGCTGAGTTGATACTGATGACTTGTCCTATTCTCCCCAGAAGGGCTGCAGTGGCAGAGCCGGAGGCAGAGCGATGCGATGCTCTCAGTGGAGGACGGCAGGATGAGAGTGGGTGAGGACGCAGGCATTACTGCAAGCCAGGATTTAAACGACTGCCGATCGTTTCTAAAACAACAGATGGCTTTCTACTCTTTTCTGATCTTTACTCATATATATATAAGTGAATGAATAGACAACCGCTCTCACCTCTAACTCAGAGGAGCTCCAGGGATCCAGCAGGAGGGATTTGACCTTGCTGACCTGAGCAATGTTTCTGTGCAGGCCAGAGCAGCTCTGACACACAAACACTCCCAGAGTGTACGATGCCCACTCCGGGTCTGCAATGAAGATTGAGATTCACGCATCCACACATATAAAACACACCTCTTATCTTAAGCATGATAATAATGGAAAGATAAAGCTACCAATTTTTCCCAAATGTGTCTTTCTAATGTGTCAGAATTTCTATTTACTGTAGATGTTATGAAACTTTTTTTAAAACTTTACTCAAAGACCAACATGGATGATGTTCCCTTTCCCTTATCCTGAAATAAAAGATTGGCCTACTTCTGAAGATCAATGAAGCAGTAGGGTACAGTATCTAAGTTCAAATAAAAAGTACTTATTATTACTCTATTATATTCAGAGGACATATATGGCCAGGAACACCTGATAACTTTAGAATAATACTATTTTTCCAAACTCAACATGGCAGTGCCAGGAGAGCTGAATATAAGATCATCTTTCCATTAGAACATGGAGGATGGCGATAAGATAAGATAGAGATTTAAGTAAACTTGTATCTTAACACAAGCAGGGGACCTCGTTAAAACTTTTTGATGTACCAATGCAGTTAGCTGATCCAACTCTCCCTCAATTACAGAACATACAGAAAACACAAGGAAAAATGAGTCAGGCTGATTAAGAAAACATACATTTAGCACAGACAAACAAATGAATGGAACCTTCAAATCTCAATTCAATTATTTCCTATTCTATATATAAGACACCAGTCAGAGCCACATTTTAATATGTTGAAACATAGTAGTCATCAAGAGAAATGACTGTTACAACCTCTCCATCCTAACGCAGATAAAAATAAATTCAATAACTCATCCTTAAGACTGTAAGTGTGAATGTTGCTTTTTGATCAGTCACTTTTGTTTCTGTTGTATACGATTTTTTGTGAACTAAATATAGTATTTTTTATTTATTTATCTTTTTCTCAGCATGTCCACACCCTATTGTGGCTGTCTGCGAGAAGTAACTCATCTGTTACCCTCTAAACACAGTGAAAAGGCGTGTGTGTGTGGGGGGAGCGCAGTGTTGATTGGGGTCTTCATAGAAATACATTATTTAAGTTCTTATAAGGGGGTCAAATGAATAATCTGGCAGTGAATTGCTTCCAGCCTACCTGCTGCTCTGCAATCGGCACAGTTTCCATTCCCTGGTCTCTCCAGGAGCTGTTTGACACGCTGTCTGTTCTTTTCCTGTTCCGAAGCCATAAGAGAATAGATTCTGCTCCGACGCCCACTACGAAAATGTCAAACTCTCACACATCGAAAGTAATATCGCTGGGTGCTCGGAACGGGATTTGCGTCATGACGCGCCTGAGAAGCCGATCAGATGGCAGCAGCCGCGTCCTGTGGATGCTGGCCGTGGAAGTGGAGCGGGGTCCGTGGTGGATGCTGTGAACGCCTTTAGGGGTGGAGGGGGTGGGGGGGGGGGGGGGCAGAATGACAGATGCAAACTCTGAACTCTGTCAGTCTCTGGAGAGAGACACCCAGTGGTGTCGATGCATGAGAGACTCACTCATGATCCCACAAACCACAGGGCTACACCCTTACTAAGAAGCGTGCTCAGGGTTCCTCTCATACGTTCTAACCCACTGAGCACGTGAAGTTGGTGGTTTGTGTTTAATATTTAAAAATCTATGTTTTTCAGGCCAGAGATGCTGTTTTTGTCATTCGTTTAATTCAACTAGGCAGGTTAAACTCGGGTAATGCGGGACGCTTCAACCTTTGTTCAGTCATTTCCTGATGAAGTTAACACAACTTCGGTGGAAGCTTTAGTTGTGACGTCGTGTGACTAACAAGGCGCGTCTTCATGAGGGCAAATGTCACAGGAAGATGGTGGGCACTTGTCTAACATAAAGCGCCCCTGGGAGTTGCAGGACGAATCAGAAACATCATTTCAACAATGTTAAATTATCAAGTTATAAATCTAGAAGACACGCTTCCTAATGGTTGTTGAGTATGATTTATGGGAAACTCCAGCACTAAAATAATCATAGTCATTGACATATGTGTTTCACTTTCGATTCGAAGCAGTTTTGGCTGTCCAGACTTCAAGGATGATTTAAAGTCAAGGAACATTGTATTTTGAGTATGTAGGAGCATGTGAGATCCTCCGACAGTTTAAATAAACATTTGCATGGTTCTTAAAGTTGTAAGCATACACGTAAAAGGTTTATAAGTCTAAGCTACAAATAATGATGTTTACACAGAGCAAAGAACTTGAGACTGCTGACTCAGAATTTGTTTACTGGGATAGAAGGAGCAAATCCACAGTTGTGCATTAGTATCTGACTTAATGACAGATTATTGTGAGCTGTGTATAGCGCTACAGAAGTTCTGGTTGTGAGGTGTAACCATGTCACACTCCTGTTTGGTCTGAACAACAAGCAAAGAGACTAAAATTAGTTCCAACACTTACAGATTTCTACGGCCTCCTCTGCTGCCTCTCATAACTGAAACTGTCTTTTAAAAGGAAGGGAAAGGTATTTCCACAGCTGCAGTGAGGCAGTAATCTGTACTTTCTACAAAAAATCCACACAGAAGTTTGCCAAGATAAACATATTAATTTGAAATTCAAAGGGAATAACTGCTCACTTCATCATGCAGCTTTAACCAAAAACATTCAAAGCCAGACTCTTGCTGCTTCTGCATGTTTATTTTGTCAAAATGTCTAAAAGTTCAATACAAGGTAAAAAGAAGTCAAATTTAAAAAAATGTTTGTAGATCACAGTGTGATAAAGATTAAGGTACTTCTCAGAATCACTTAGCACAAAACATGGGGAATACAAACAAAAAAAAACATTTGTAGGGTTAGGACTCGATCCTTTTCTGGGTCGTTGACTATGGGGCAGATTATCTTGCTTCCCTTGGAGATAATAAAGCCAAACATCACAACTGGTCTGCTGTCATAATCTAAACGTGATGTGGTGTTTTATCTGGATGAGTTGGAACTGGAACGAGAACGGTGGCGCCTGCGACCAGGAGATCTGGAACGGGAACGGCGACGTACCGGGGAGCGCCTTCTTGGGGAGCGGGATCTGAATGGACACGGAGAGAGACAGGGGAAAAAAAGACATTTGGAAGAATGCCTCTAGCAATGAACAGTGTTCTGTGTGAAAAAGGTTGAAGTCAGTCAAGATACCTTCTCCTCATGCGGGGTGGGCTGCGACGCCACATTGGTGGTGGTGGCGGCATCCTGCGGGGAGGAGACATCCTGCGAGGTGGAGGACGGATTCGCTGAGTCAGCACAGCAGCTGCCGTGATTTCCTGTCCATCGATTTGACCTGTCAAACAAAAAGCTGTCAAAGTATGCTCCAATGCATGCTGCAAACTGGAGGAATTGAGGTCATTCATGTCTACCTCCGTCCATATGTTTGAGGGCCTTCTGAGCCTCCTCGGGGGTCTCAAACTCCACGTAAGCATGGCCCTTGGGCAGGTGTGGGTGCAGCCTGTCCATGGGCATGTCAATCATTTTGATTTTTCCATATGTAGAAAATATTTCCTGAATGTGCTCCTGTTGAATCATCAGAAAGCAGGATGTTAATATTAATCGAGATGTGGACTTAGAAATTCCTAGTTTTACAAATTTGATTTAGATTAAATGCCTTTACTAGAAAAAAAATTCAGAAGCTCTGCTCAGGGAAATATTTAAAACATTCAGGACTGGACACGCCTGCCTTAGCTCATGAATAAAAGATTATTCATTTTTCTTAGTCTTTAACTTAATATGAATTTTTTTATTCTTTTACATCTTGTGTAAATGAACTCACTCAATTGGGAAGATGGTTGTCCTCATTTAACATACAAAATGTGTATTTCTAAAATGCAGACATGGTTTCTGCCTAATCAAAAAGATTAATTATTTCTCAATTTACCTTGGTTACATTCCTGGTCAGCCTTCCTAAGTGAACCTTGGTTGGCTTGGGGGTGGGACTTCTTTTTCTGCGTTCCTTATCGTCTCCCCTCTTCTGTGTTTTGGAGCTTTAAATAAAAGAAATAAAAAAATCAAACCAAAATAAATGTTATCATGGCTGAAACAGATAAAAAAAACAATTAAACAAAATGCATAAATATGACATATTTGTCTCCAGCAAAGGGATTTACGGGGAGCGAGAGCGACGGCGGTTGTCATGGCGTCTGCGGCTGGGGCTTGGTGACCCCGAAGAGCTGGAGGAGGAAGAGGATCGAGAGCTAGAAGACCCAGAGCGACTGGAACCGGATGAGCTGGATCCACTTGAGGAACCTGAGCTGGATCCAGAACTGCTGCTAGATGATGAGCTTGATCTGGATCCAGACACAGGGAAAACAAAGTAAATATTTTATGTCAGAAAACATGCAAGACATTTCTTTTTCCCCCAAACATGGGCGTGGATCTTTAAAAAGATGAGTTGAAAAACAAACCTGCTGCTGCTACTGCTGCCAGAGGAAGCACTGCGGCGTTTCCTTACTTTATCCCGTCCCCTCTCTTTCTCACCGTCCTTGGTAGCGGTCTTTTCTTTGCCTCTATCTTTAGTTTTTTCATCCTCCTTTCGCTTTGTAGGTGACGGTGCCCTGAGATCAAGAGCACACACACATATTTCAGTTCTTCAAAACTTATGTGTGTGTGTCTTTGTACCACCAGTTCAAAATCCAAATAAATGCTAACTATAAATCTTCACTATAGAGTGAATTTCAGATAGAACTTCATGAAAATCTGCAAAGATTTAAACTGTCAATAAATATAACGATTCACTATGAAGAGGTAGTCGATCTTTTAAGATAAAAAATATATATTAGCGACCAAAGCAAAAACAACCAATTACAAGTATCTTCGTGGTAGCACACTGTAAGTGAACTATACAATTATTTTCACGTTCCAAGTAACGAAACTTGGAGATCTGCACATTTAGGTAACTTTATTGATTATATGAAATGAGTTTTGTACCCATTATACTTCATTAAATGGCTCAAAAAAGTTATTTAACAGTTGCTCTCCACAGCAGAAATCCGCCGTCGCCATTGAATTTCATTCAACCTCCCCCTGAAAACAAGGGAAGGAGAGCCACCGTGCTGCAACTGATCGAATTTTCTGCTCTTCTTTAAGCGGAAATACCTCAAGCAAACCCATCATACTTCTGTTAAATGATCATTTACATATATTGGGAAATACTATAACCAAATTTGAACCAAGTAAATCTTAAAACTTACATTTCTTTATGTCGAAGTGGCTTCGTTACAATTTCTTGCGGGCTGAGAACACGTCGCGAGGTGATGACGACACGGGAAATTGCGTAACTACCTGCGCGCCACTTACAACTCATTTGCTTCGTTTTTTACGTTGTTGACGACCAAACGCGGGATTGTGCGTTTAATGGAACCGTATTCATGCAAAAGTGACACGCGTATTCATGGTATATATAATGAGTTTGTCAGTTTTGAAGGTCCTGCTTCCCTCTTTTATACAAGGTGAGCGCAACACTTTGTGTGGCTGTTTTCACCCCGTACCTCAGCTAATATCTAATGTTTGTCCAGACAAGAAAATACCATTTAAGTAATCCATTATAGAAATTTCACAAAGTTCCATACACTCCAATAACGTTTTAATTGGTTATTTTCATTTTGATTTCTTTTTAGTGTTTATATGTGTTTTTCATCATTTACTTAAATGTGAGAATGCTGAAAGCTTCTTTATTATTATTATTATTATTATTATTATTATTATTATTATTAGACTGAAGAAAGTTTTCTCCTTTCCTGTAGTGTTTTTTATTGCAATGACTGTTGACAAGTTTCAGATTTTGTGAACTGGTGAAATTGTACCTTCTGCAGGCATTGTGTTTGTGGTCTGCTGATGCATCAATGACATTTGAAATAACTGAGTTTTGTGACCTGATGCTATGTAGCAATGTACATTAAATAGTAGCTCACCAGGTTAAACACATATCCCTTGAGGAAAACAAATACAAAATGAAGTTAGTAGTCAGTATTTTAAGTGTGCTGTGACAGACTGGCGACCTGTCTAAAGCGTATGCTGTTTCTCCAAAGTGGTCGTTGAGATAGGCGTCAGCATCCTTATATTGGATTAAGCAGGAACAGAACACGGATGAAAGGATAGATGGATGTATTGACTTATATGGGTGACGTGTTTTCTGTTTAATGATTAGATTAGCACTGCTTGTGCTGAGCAGATTTAGTTAAGCTAAATCAGACAATTCAGTCTCCCCATTCACCCATTCACATGACAGCTAAAGCTTGTTTTCCTTTTTCTGTGTTAAATCAAAGCAGACATATACTTTAGTAAGCATTTGTGCTTTTTTTCTGGTGTTTTTCTTTGACACTGTAGACCCCAAAGTCCTTTAGTATTTGGTGGTGACGTTTTATTCAGAGTTTTAAGCAAAGCTGATTATATAAAATGTTACCTAATGTAATTTCGGTTCTATGATCTTGGATAGGTAATATATAAACCAAGTGGCTGTTGCTGGACAGGTAGAGTTTTTTAAATAAGAAAATAGAATCCTCACATTGCAGAAGAAGCTCACAAAAGTAACATTTAATTTAATTACCTTCATATTAGATATTGTTTTTTGAAATACACATGAAATGTTGAATGTGAATTCTTTACAGGTTAACTGAGCTCAGAGTGGGAGAACATGGGTCGATTGGATGATGCCGCAAAGCACAAAGTGGTGGAGCTGCGAAAAGCTGGTCTTAGTTTCCGTAAGATCAAAGCCGTGCTGGAGCTGGAGAACATCAAAGTTTCAGCTCAGGCCATCTACCTGTACCTGAGAGAGCTCCAGGGCAGGCCACCAGGGAGGGTCAGACCTGTGGAAGCTGGGGCAAACACGTTAGCCGCACAGGTGCCCCCTCGGACTGGGGCGTCGAGAGAAAGCTGGAGCAATATTCATATCCAAAACCTGTTGCGAGAGGCATCTCAAAATGCTGGTTTTGCAGCTGCAGACTTTGCCAAACAGACTCCAAATTCAGAGGCTAGTGCAAACTCATCCGGGTCTGGGGAGGCCTGTGGAGGCAGCAGACCGGAGCCGCAACGTGACGGAAATAAGGAAGAAAACGACATACAGATTGTTAGTGTTACCTCCCTTGCACAGCATGGCCAGCAAAGACTTCCTCATTGTACAGCAACAAGGGCTGAAACAAGCTCGGCGTCTTCCACTTTAGCAGCTTCTGGATCGTACATGAAGAGGAGAGTCACTCTTTCTCCTGCAACCAGTTCAATGTTGGCCGCTCGAAAAAGACTGTTGGATAAAGCTTTGTCACACAGGACAAAGGTACATGCGATGAAATGCTCTTTCTTGAAATGCTTTGCTGAAATCTAGATTATTTTCCCTTAATACTGTGATCATTTTGGATGTCAAGTTCTTTAAAAAATGAAGACTATTTACTCAGATTAACTGTTTCCCAACAGTCTTTCCACCAGGTGGCATCATTGTTGAGGCGAGATCCCTCCAACGTGCAAAGTTCTGATTTTAGGAGTGTTCTCACTCAGCCTCGTGAAACCTTCGACCTGACCACAGAGAAGGTGAGGACAGTGCTCACGTCTAAATGCCAGTTGTTGTCACGACACAGAAGCCTGCATATTTCTAGCTGCTGATGTTGTATTTTTTGTTCCTGACACATCTTGAGTTTAAAGCATTTGTCTCATCTCTTATGTTTGTTTATTTGTTTGGAGAGGCTACATGGTAACTACATATTCATTCAATCATTACAGACTGCTATTGAGGGTCAGCCTGCAGGTGACTGCGCTCCCCGGCGCTTCCCAACACAGAGACCAGGACCGTGTGCTCGTTCCACTCACCCTCCGCCTCGTTTTGGGATTCGTCTTCCCAACCGCCCAATAGGAAATTTGACCTCCTCTGCTCCTGGGGCTCCCATTCTTCGCCTCCAGACTCCTAGTGGCTCGAGTTCCACTCGTAACGAGAGTAATCCGAGCCCACAGCAGGCAGTCCAAGACACTGGAGGCAGAGGTGGTTTGCAGGACCAAATCCAGACCCTGGGCTCTGAAGTACGCAGCCTGGGATTGGCGGTGAAGATGCTTATTGAGCAGCAGTGCCGGCTAGAAAGGGAGCATTCACAGCAGACGCAGATTCAGAAGCAGATCCTAAGCACTCTTCAAATGCTGTCCTCCAGAATGGTGCATGGCAGAAGTGCTCAGCAGCAGCAGCATAGCAAAACTCCATCGCCCTCTTCATTTGGCCTGGACACATTCAGTTTTAATCAAGGCTCCTACACTCAGTGCAGCCAGACTCAGCCAAGCTATAACTCCATGGAAAGTTCTGAAAACGTGGAGGCCTTTAAACTGCCGGGACTGCGCCCTACCAGCATTAACGGCTTTCAACCGTGCAGCAGTGCAGACAGTCTTCCTCTCACTCACACTCCTCCTCAGACTCAGGCGTACGCAGGCGGGTACCCACAGCAGAGCAGTCAGACACTAATAACACCTTACACACAGTCCTACGTCTCTACGTTCACACAGTCGCATCAGCAGTCTTTCAGAACACCAGAGAGTAAAAGCTCAGATTTCTCAAGCAGCTGTTCGTCCAGCTCTTTCCAGGACTGCAGCGTTTCCACCCAACAGGATCAGCAGATCAACACGATTAAAGTGGAAGGACCTTAAAGGGCCCATGAGGGCTTCTCTGTGCCGTTTTTAATGATGTTTGAATTTTCATCTGAGACATGAAAAGGTTTAATGATGTAGCTTTTTAAAGTTTATTTCGAAAGAGTCCTTGCAAGACAGCAATAGAATAATAAATTACAACGCTTTTATAACCATGTTTGGATTGGTTTTATTGTTGAATAAGTGATTACTAAGATTAACAAACTTACGGGTTATGTTTTTTGTGAAAGCACTTTCTGTAACTTTTCTGTTTACTTTGTATCATTTGGATGTGCAATACAAGTCTTTCATTTTCAAACGTGTCTGATCCCTCATGAACAAATAAAGAAATTATGTTTCACTGTGTTGTTTTAAATTCACCTTTTATGATGTAACTATCATGGTATTTTTAATATCTGAAAATAATAAAAAAAAACTTAATAGTAATGAGTTCTACTTAAAAGTAGTTGTGTAGCTGGGCAGAAAACCCAAAGGAGGCATTTGTGCTCATTTTCATATAGGACAGATCCTGTGGAAATTTTCTGATCCTCCTCGGCCTCTGATTTTGTTTTTCAGAGAAAGGTTTTCAAGCAGGACAGCCCACAGAGGCTTGTAGAGTTGAGGATGTGAATTTTTATGTTGTGCCCATATTTTCTTCTTGAGACAAAAATGCAAACCAGCTCAAATATTGTGAGGATATATAATATTATGATATGCTTTGGTTTTCCATAACCATGGTTTACATTTGGGTAACAGGCCCGTGCATAAAAGTGCCTTTTGAATTAGATATTTCTGACTGAAAAAAAACATTGGAAAAAAAATCACCTTTAAAAAGACTGAATATAGAATTTAAGGAGACAAGAAATCATGTTACAGATAAACTACGTGATATGACAAATTTACAGACAATATCTTGCTTACAGAATTCATTACAAATAAGCTAAATATCCAAACATAAAAAAAGTGCAGAAAGCAGTATATAATTGTACTATTAGTCTGTAAATATTTTTTAAATTTGAGATTCTGTAGATTTTTCATTTGCATTTTCTGGCAGCTCTGAAATCTGTTGCACATGTCGCTTTTCCTGTATTGGGCTGGCAACTCAGCTAAGGTGAGCTTTGGTTTTCCTACAGCAGCAGCTAATGACTCCAACTTTCCTATGACCCTGCAGGAGGTTATTCTATGGAATGGTTTGTAAATTTTGAATAACATTAGCCTTGATTTCAAATTATACAGGCTTGAGAGATTTGTTATATCATGCTTGTATTTTGTGTTGTAACGTATGAACACAGATGAATACTTGCAAAAAATTGCCAGCATGGCAGAATACTATTGACTGTAGAATAAAAGGCTATACTCAACAGGGGATTTTAATTCAGATTCCCCCTGATATGTTCAAGCAGCCTATGGTTTAGAGCCAATTTCTTTCAGTCCGTGAAATCTTTACTAAATCTTCATTACAACAAAAGCAATAGAATACTGTCTAGCTGGTCTCCTCACTGGCGTTTGACAGCACACAGACTTTGAGGCAGAGGAGAGAGGGTGAAACCCACAACTGGTGCCAGATCCAGTTCATCCTCTGAAACTCCAGGTGGGGGAGTGAACCGAAAGCACTGAAGGAGGGATGCGAAAAAGAGGAAGAGCTCCATTCTGGCTAATCCCTCTCCAAGGCACGCCCTGCGACCTAAAAGCAGAAGTCAGCGGGTAAACATGATCGTCTTTGTTGAAGCAATAACAATCAGGTGGGTCTCAAGAACAGAATGTACCAAAGTACCTGCAGAGAAAGGCATGAAGGCGTCTCTCTTGATAAATCTACCCTCGTGATCCAAGAAATGTGAGGGGGTGAAAGTGTGAGGGTTCTCCCATTCACTTTCGTCATACAGGACAGATGTAAGAAGAGGAAGAACCGTTGTACCCTGCAGATGAAAAGGAAGAAGGATGCTATCACAGCAACAACTTGTAATTATAGAAAAATTAAAAATAAATAAATCGCTTTAACCCATAGGAGCCCAGACCAATTTCAACTTAAAGGGAAATTATAGGCTATAGAAAACTGACCAAATGAACCCTATTTAAAAAAAAAATTCAGATATCACCACCAAATGTAAAAGATCTGTTATTATCATAGCTTCTGTGTGCCATATTTAATCCATTTATTACACCTCCGTCATTGTGGGGTTTTTTTTAAATAGAAGCACATTTGTGTTGAACTGATTATGGGAGCACCTCACCTTTTTGATAAAATGGCCTTGAAAAGTGACATCTCTCTCCGTTGTGTGTGGAATGGACATGGGGACAATGTTGGCAAGTCTCTGTGACTCATGGATGACTGCGTCGGTGTACGGCAGATTCTTTCTGTCGTCTATTCGAACCTGACGACTTCCGACCACCCTGTTCAGCTCCTCCACCACCTGGTCTGCAAATGCATGTGCGTAAAAGAAATCGTGTTTCACAAGGCCTAATGCTGCAGTTACAAGTCTATGAAGGAACAGATTTAGCACCTTGAACGTGGGGATACTTGGCCATGTACAGCAGACACCACTTCAGTGTAGTGGCTGTGGTATCGGTTCCAGCTGCAAACAGGTTTGCAACACTCTCAACCAAGTTATCATCATGGTAGTGGGAATTCTTGATTCCATTTTCCTGATATAACACAAAGAAAGGTTTGAGTACATTTACTCATCACCATTTACGGCCTAAATGTAGACGTATCGCTCACCTCTAGATTTTGGGTACGGATCAAAAATGCATCCACAAAGCATCTGCACATCTGAGGGTCCAGAGTCTCCCTCAGATCTGCTACGATCTGTCTTATGTCACTCTTTCCCGCTTCCACGTTCCGTATCACATCCCTCCGATTTTTAAGGAAAGGGCCCAGCCACGGAAAGAAGTTATATAACTAAAGAAAAAGTCCACAATACAAATGAACATTTCCGTCTTAAGAAAACTATTGAACTGTACTTCATTTGCATTTGTTTTTGCTTTTCATCTTATTGAATTGAAATGAAATTGGAAACAAATTATTACAATTGATCAGCGGGATCAGCATGCTGTTGGTCAGGTCTCTCATGTCCAAGTCTAAAAGTGATCATTTAAGTGACAATTGCATAACTATGAATTTGAAAAAGATAAATTACAACATGTTTTACTAACACAGATTCCTTATTTTCGGGAACAATTGTGTAACCTTTTCCAACGTCTGAGATATCTTCAGACGTCTCTTATGTCCATGTTACGACTCTAATCCTCAAGCATGTTGTATAAATCTAGCACTGATAAATTTTCATTCACATCATTCACAACGCACTGTCCTCTCTTTGAATAACTAGATTAAATCAATGCTGAAAAATAAAAAACTTTAACAAACCAAATTCAAGAGAAAAATCAAGATTTCACAACGATATGACCAAATATTCCCTTTTTAAAATTATTCTTAAGATACTAATGAGTGTAAATTTGCATACCTGGATGGAGACTGATCCCGTCAGATGGATTGTCTCATTATCTCTTTCAACCATCGCTTGGAAGATAGGGTCTTTGAATTCAAATCTTTTTCCAAACATTAGAGATGATATTACATTTGAAGCTGCATAACTTATCGTCTTGGTGTTGTTGAAGGGTTTACCTGTGAGGTTATACTTTAACAATCAGACATGAAAAAAACAAACATATTCAATATCTGCTATGCACAAGTTTATCGTTATAATTATGATAATTTCCTTTTGCCCTGTTGTAGAAAATAAATATGGTTTGAGAAAAATTAATCTTCTAGGAAAAACTACTTTAATTTGTGGTTCTATATTTATTTTTCTCTCTCTACTATACTTTTTATATCTACACCGGTGGGCCAGGTTCAAAGCTATGATTATTTTAATATATAAATAAACATACTATACTATTAAATACTACCTTCAAATGTTTCAAAGTCTTCAATAAGATAGTGGCATTCTTCAATGATTTTATCTTCAATTATTCTCTTGCCCATTCCAAAGTCTTTCAGTGTCGTCAGCGCAAAACGCCTCATTTCTTTCCACGACTCTCCATTAGAAAAGAGTATGCCTGGAAACAGAATAAATTAATTTTCACATTGACATGAACACATTATTTCCTCTGAAAACATGCCCTTACCATGTTCTTTGTTGAAATCATAGAAAATTGGTGTGATTTCTCGGTTCCCAAACTCATCAGCGTGGTTTACCAGGGCCTGTTTGACAGTCCTGTAACCCGCCAGGACCACTATCTTCTTTATCCCAAAGTATATTTGAAACACAGGTCCATATTTTTTGGAAAGCTAAACAATAGCACAACCCAAAGTGAGACACACGGTTGTCCATAACAGCAACTCTAAGGTGGGTGACTTTAAAGCTGTCTCCCGTTCATTTGAGACAAAGATAATGTTACTCACATCCAAAAGACTTTGGTCGACCTTTTTCAGATCCACCTGAAGCAGATTACCAATCAAAGGAAGAGATCTGGGTCCTGGAGGCTCTCGCCCTTCATGGGATTTGGAGTTGGAGTAAAGAACAACGAGGACCAGCAGACCAAAAACTAACCCTAACAGGGAGACTGAGGCGGAGGACCGAAAAATGTCTTCGAACATGGTTTTGCCGCTCCCTGAGTTTCCTCTGACAGAGACCTCTTCCCTGGGCGGCTATCCTCGCTTTGAGTTCAAACCCTTTCAAGGCTGACAATTTGAATCCTTCGTCAAGTGACGGGCTAATTGCCAGGCACCCACAACCAGAATTTCTTGTTCCATCCTGTCTGAAAAGTGACCTTATCACAGAAACTGTGAAACATGTGAAAAAATACCGACAGAGAGAAAGCTGTGGCTGAACAATGGAATGAGAAATACTTTCAACAATTGGTTGAACAAGATTAAAATCAAGTAGTGCTTCAGGGAAAACGCAGTCTTTCACTTGAAGCACTTGATCTTCAATAAGCCATCTATCTATTCCCTTTAGCAGCCACATATATCTGCTGAAATTCATCCCCCGAAATGAAAATGGCATTAAAAAAGTGGGTTCCTCTCAGAAAAAGCCGGCTGATTTTAAAGGTTCAGTACTGTTTATTTACAGTTTTCTTAGGGAGATATGTTTTTTTCTTGCATTGTGTTTTATGCAACAGTATGCGTTTTGTTTTTTTGGGACAAACACTTTTTGTAGTCTGCTTTTTGGTCTGACTTAGCTGATGTTTCATATTTCTACCACTTGTCAATTTGTTTCTCTTTTCCTCTAATGTATTTTTACCTCTTGTATGACATGAGTTTTTCTGAAGAAGTTGAAATTGAAACACAATAAACGCTGCATGCATGTGTTTGTGCATGCATGTGTTTGTGTGGTGAATCAGTTGCGTGATGCCTTTAGGCTGAGAAACGGTGCACAGTTAATTATGTCACGATAAAGCCAAACAAAAAAACATCCAGATGATTGACCCAATTTATCAGAGGAATGATTTCAACTTGCACATTTAAAGCTTAACAACCAACAACTACGCCACCATAATCCCAACAATTGTTTAAAAGGTAATTCTTTTTCTGCTAGCAAAGGGCAGATTGTCTTTCACACAAACACAAAGCAAACTTTTCCATAACCTGACAGCTGAGTGGCAGTAAGAACACCGCAGGTGCCAACAGGGATTAAGCGTACTCCTCTTTTTCCACCTCCATCTCAACAACAGAAATGTAATCTGTACATGGTGTGCATCAGGAAGGATTAACGAACTGGCCAAACAGCTCTCTCACTTGTCTCAGCTAATTTCTTATCATTTCTTTAAACTATGACATAAACAGGATATAATACAACCTGTTTACTCTCACCTGGATCTTTCTAGTAACAAAAGGCATATGTCTTATGTACAACTTGGATTAATTTTGCCACTGCAAATGAATCAAACGTGCTCAGGAAAAATTATCTTGGGTGATTGAATTCAACTCATCATAGAAACTAATTAGTAGAGCTAGTACTGAACTGAAAAAATACAATCTAAATATAGTCTTTTTTTGTTAAATTGTGAGGTGGCTTATGTTTTCAAAGTGTCTATATGGTGCAAAAGAAAATCCTGAAGGTGAACAAAATTAAAGGTTAAGAAGAAATAAATTCAATCAAGTTCCTTTTAGCTGCTCCTCATTATTAAGTGCTGTCGTGTCCATAAACCAAACTTAGCAGTAGCTTAAAAAATGCGTCAGAATCTGAGAACAACAAAGTGGGGGGAAAACATTCGGCAATACTGGGGTTTTAAACTGAACTATATCTGTCATTTTAGAGAAACAGTCATCTTGGAAGCGATATCACCCATTAATGACATTTTATTTTTCGGGTATTTTTAATGGTGATTAAAGACTAAAACAACGTATTCCTCATTAACTACATGTCTGCGAAGAGAGTGTGGCCCTGTCTGAGGGTGGATAAAAGAAGACATTAATCGTTTGTGCAGAGATCAAAGATAAAGCCACAGTTTTCTCCTCTTCCTCACTGCAGGCTGACTGCACACAGCTGATGTTGTGAAGGAGGGAGCACAAAGCCCGCAGCTGGTGTCAGGTCCAGTTCATCTTCTGAAACACCCGGTGGAGGGGTGAACCGGAAGTGTTGAAGGAGGTTGGTGAAGAAGAGGAAGAGCTCCATCTTAGCCAGGCCCTCTCCGAGACACACCCTGCGACCTGCAAGTACTCCAACCATGTCAGGGCAAGTGGTGACAATCCCCCTTCTTGGAAACATATAACAAATTTGAAATACCTGCAGAAAAGGGCAAGAAGGCATCTCTCCTGATGAATTTACCCGCCGGATCCAGGAAATGAGAAGGGTTAAATGTATATGGGGTTTCCCACTCACTCTCATCATAGAGGACAGAAGTAAGAAGAGGAAATACTGTAGTTCCCTGGGGATTAGATACAGGCATCAAGTCGGGATGATTGGACATTTATTGTCGTCAAGGGTTTATTTAGATTTGTTTTTTTTTAAAGATCTGAAAAATCATTGAGATGGTTACCTCTTTGATAAAGTATCCCTCGAAAGTGACATCTCGACTGGTTTTGTGTGGAATAGACATGGGAACGATGTTGGCCAGCCTCTGTGTCTCGTGGATGACAGCATCAGTGTAAGGCAGGTTTTTACGGTCCTCTACTCGGACTCTGCGGCTTCCTATCACTCTGGCCAGCTCCTCCTGGACTTTGCCTGCACACATAAACATTAATGTACATACTAACTCCTTTACAGGTCTGTCCACAAGCTGCCAGCTCTGTACGACTAAAAGATTTACTTCGAATGTCAGTGAAACTATGTTCATGTTTAATAGTTTTAATGTTTAACATTTTCTGTTTCTCAACAAGTTCAAAGTACATCGGAGGCCCTTTGCAGAACCCAGAAAGGTTAAAAAGGTGCTCTCGCGCTTCTCAGTGTTCCATTTGCCATTTCAGTGACAAGCAAGAGAGGTTATTAAGGTTAAAGAGAACATATTTGGTATAATTTTAGTAGATCTGGTTTGGATCTGGAATCAGTGTAATTGCCCATGATGTGGACAAACTATATTTAGAGATGTGTCCCCAAGGAGCCTGTGTTGATTTTTCAATAAATGCGCATGAGACTGCAAAGTTGTATAAATGTATTAATAGCATCTGATGTTTGCCAATGCAGAACAATTTTGGATAGGGCTTGACCTCCTAATAAAATATGCTTTCAGATGAGGTGCTGGTTCAATTAGGAAAATCCTGCCTGCATAGCTGGTTACAGCAAACAAACAGCAGTTTGAAATGAAAATTATTTGAGTCATTCAATACTGAATGGAGATGGTGCAGCTTTCTCCTTAACAATGAATTAAATGTAATAACACTTTTTAGAAGTTAGAAGGAAAATTAAAACACTAATGTCATTCGCTAGTTTAACACATTCGATATATTAAAGTGTATGTAAAGAAGAGGGAAGTGTACCCTGAATATTTGGATATTTGGCCATCAGCAGCAAACCCCATCTCAGCGTGGTAGCTGTGGTGTCAGTGCCTGCAGCAAACAGGTTGGTCACTGTGAAGATCAGGTTTTCCTCATTGAAGTGAGAGTCTTTAACGAAAGAGTCCTAAAAGAAGGGCAACATATTAAGAAACAAACAAATATAAATATTTTCGTCTTACAGAGAATAAAAAACCAAAACCAAAAAAAAAAAACACGTTACCTCTTCCTTCTGCTTCCTAATAAGAAAGCAGTCCACAAGTCCTCTGCAGGTCTGGGGATTCAGCGTGTCTTTCAAATGTTTGATCAAATCATTGACATCTTTGACGGTGTTCTTGACATTTTTTAATATTAGCTGCCGTGCTTTTGTCCATCTGGCCAGCCAGGGAAACATGTTGTAAAGCTGCCAAATTACAGCATAAAACAAAACCATTTTAGGGGATCAAATTTTAATCCATTCGTTAAAATGATAACGGCGTATCAGCAGTAACACAAGATTAAAGGTAAAACACTATATACAATTTTCATACTTTAATGTAAAAATATTTTCTGATTTTGGATCAGCAAAGAACAACATGTCTAAACAACAAGAACAAAAAAGAAGTCAAAGTATTCTTACAGAAACCTTCATACATGGAATTTAAATAAAATATTTAAATGGGGGCAAATTAATACCTTAAAAGAAATAAAATAGATCAAGGATTTTGATATCAATAAATTATCCAAGTCCTGTTGTCTCTAAACAAAAGACAACATATTTAGATAGATACGGTATCTGTCCATTTAAATAGGCTTGGGTTTGTCCATGTTATGCATTGTTCAGGTAGGATCATATCCATTTCATTGTCAGCTAAACATATGATTGGGTTGTTTTAAGGCTTTTCCATTCAGAAAATAGAGCCTCATAAGAAAAAACACATCACATATAATAATATACATATGTTACCTGTCAGAAATGGGAACTCAAGGCAGGATTCAGTTGCAAAGATATTTAGCAAAAATCTTTAATGAAACAAAGGCACACTCGCAAGGAGTGGAAGACAAGGCAAAGTATAGAATAAGAACGCTCTAGAAAACGAGGCAGACAAAGCTATGATCAAAGAATCAAATAATAATCTCTCTTGCAAGGCAGAACAAAACTGTGGACAAAATAATAACACTTGATAACAAGGTTTCAGAAAAGCTAATAAACTACCAAAATAATGCTCACTCACTCAGGAGGAAAAAGCTATGGACACAAAATAACAACGGCTAGAGACGAGGAAAAGGCAAGGGAGGTTCAGGGCAAGGCTTTTCAAGGCCAAAGTTAACACACAGTTTGGGTCAGAAGACGAAACACACTGGCACAAGACAAGGTAAGACGCAGACTATTTAAACACAAGGGAAGGGAACCCTTGGTCCCTATGATGGGACCGCTGACTCAGTTCTGATCAAGATTCAGCTATTGGACAGATGACTTCATATTTTACCTCTTGATAATTTGATCCACAGAGAAGCTGGCTGCAGTGTGTCCGGACTCAGAGGTTATAAAACAGCCTATATCCAATTCCCCTTTGCCATGCTAAACAGTTGCTTGAAGGTATTTATGAGCTGAATTTAAAATCAATGCTTTCTTCACACTAAGATTAGATTTTACATTCTATATAAATAGGTGTTAGCCTGTTATTATGCATACTGAACCGACATTAAGATTACCTGGATTGCTGCAGAACCTGTAACGCGGATCGTCTCATTGGCTCGACTCACTAGGTTTCTAAATCTGGGGTCAGTATATTCGAATCTGCTTCCATAGACGATGGAAGAGATGATGTTCGATGTTGCATAATTTACTGGAGATGTTGTGTCGAACGGTTTCCCTGTAAAGAGACAGTGAGAATCATGTATGTTGCAATTACAGTCACTGGCTGCAGTCTGCTGATGATAGAAGCACAACTTTGGATGTGCGCATTTGTTAACAGGTGAGATAGCATTAAAGAGTCACTTTGCTTTTTGATGAGGCTATTCTGTCTACGGTGTTATGTCCAGTGAGTTGCCACACATCAAAATATGACATTGACATTGTACCTTTGTGATTTTCAAAAATTTGAATCAGATAGCCACATTCCTCCAAGATTTTTTCCTCAGCGACTCTTTTGCCCATCCCAAAGTCTCTGAGGGTGGTTAGGGCAAATCGTCTCATTTCTCGCCACGATTCTCCATTTGCAAACAGAATTCCTTAGAAGCACAAAAAATTGTGGTAAAGATTTACAATCGCAAGAGACAAGCAAACTATTGATGGTAGTAGTTTTGTTATATGGTTTTGTGTCCCTTTAAGGACTTAGTTTTACCACCTATTTGCAATTATCTTACAAATATAAAAGCTATAAGGATACTAAAGAAAAGGTTGCACAATACCTACCATGGCCTTTATTCGTGTCATTAAATATCGGTGAAATTTCTCTGTCTCCAAATTCCTCTGCAAAGCTGACCAGAGCTTCTTTGACCGCCTTATAGCCAGCCAGGACAACCACTTTCTTAGGTCCAAAGTATACCGTAAATACAGAGCCATGTTTCTTAGAAAGCTGGACCAACAAAAGAAACAGGTTAAAAAGACAAAAGAGTACAAAGTGTTGAAAAAATAAGTTGCAGAATTTGTTGTTTTGAATTAGGAGCTCCAAGTCACCTCACAAAGTGTTTTGTATGGCCTCTGGAGATCAAGTTGCAACAGGTTGCCAAGCAGGGGAAGAGGTCTCGGTCCTGGGGGTTCTCTCCTCATTTCCACGGACGAGGAGGAAACTGACACAAGGTAAAAGACAAGCAAAAGGAAAATGGCTCCTATCACTGTAGTAGGACTCAAAGAAAGCGAAGAAACTAAATCCTTCAAAGGCTCCATTTAGTCCGTTGTTTGCAGTCCTCCTGGTCAACCTAGAACATTGAGCTGTTTGTGTCCCTGTGAAAAGCTCCAGGGGAGGCATGTTTCATCCCGCCTCCCCAGGTCTGTACACAGCTGAGCTTTGGACATCCTTTGAGAGGGGGTGGGTGACTGCAGGTGGCTAATCTAAAGGTTACCTAAAGAACATTCTGCTTTTTACTTTTCTGTTTCTTTTACTATAACTAATGTTTTTAAGTCATGAGAGATTTAATTTCTGAGTACTTTCTAAACAATTGTGTGCAGTTTTATATTGTCCGTTGGTCTACTAGCGTGTAAAGATGAAAAGACAATCAATAACCTCCAACAGCCCCTACATGACTCCACCACCTAATCTATAGCTATATAACTATATATAACTAGTACTAGTAGAAAAAGATTAAATATTAACAGGAACTGCTAATCTGATGGTCAACACTGTTGCTTAAATAGAGATTTAGATAAATTGTCTTAAAATAAAAAGTATGTTAACTAGTACCAAATCACTGCAAAAGTGTTTCAAACAAGTTAACTTCTGTATAGTTCAATTTTCAGCCAAATGTTTAAAAAAAATTGTGCTTGCACCTAGAGCTGGTGAAAAATCTGTATGCAAACACATTCCAAATTTAAACAACAGACACCAGTCTCTTCAACCATTTGCATAGAGCATTGTTTAATTTAAAAAGAACAGCGAGACATACAGAGTTGACACGGTCATTTTGAAGGTACACAACAGTACACAATTACATTCATGGAAATTCCCTTTTTACATACGATACACCAAATTTCAGCAGGACTCAATCCCTACAAATCAGCGGTGCTTTTCTCTTTCACTTTGCAGCTCTCTCAAGTCATACATGTAATGAGGGCTGGATTGTGCAATTTACATCCAGATTTTTTCAGTAAGGAAAATTAAAATGCCTGGCAAAGATCGACTTAACAGCAATGGGAATATACATAGTACAGATCATGACGGAAGCACTGTAAATCATGGAAAGCAGGTAGTAATGTAATTTAGTGCTGTGTTTAGTTACACAACATACATTCATCTCACTTCTGAAAAAGTTTTTTTTTCTTCTAAGAGCAGGAATGTCTTGTCACTAATGTCACTAAATGAGATGATTTGTTTAATACCCTCAGGTTATAATATTGATCCTTATGAAAGCAGGAGACTGTGACTACATTTCTCAACATGTGTGGAAATTACTTTGGGAAACGTTGATTGTTATTCTACATCTTTTCTACACTATACATACATCTTTTTACAAGTTTTTAAGAATGAACAAGGCTTTGGGAACGCAGCAATCTGAGCAAGCTCTGAACTGAGGTCCATTGCACAACCAAACAAAGAGAAAAGAATACAAAACATGGTGCTGATCATTCCTCTGTCCAACAAGGCATTTGTCTGAATGCACAGGAATGCAAGTTTCATTATCCACTAACTGTAGGCCATTTTAACATTGCACTGATTTTCATTCCTTCATGAGAGCTGCTCTGAAGACGTAAAGTTTGAACAGTAGCAATTGTTTGTAACAAAAATCTTTTTTTTAAAAACTATAAGAATTGTGACAGACATATCCTGTAGCCACAGAAAAACTACTCTAGGTCAAAATCAGTCAATCACATGACGTTCTCGTGCATCACACACTGACTTCAGAATTTCCCTCTACACACCCTCAGTGTGAATTGTGTTGACCAACATCTGAAGCAAAATGCCGCTTCAATTTTTTTTGGCAGCAGAAAATAGGACGATTGCCAAACAAAAGCTGAAAACTGAGAAGCACGAACTGTACTTAGAATGGATTACATGTACTCTGAGGATTAATCTCGGCATGGACGGTCTTGTTCTGTAGAACTAAAATTTTCTTCCTTCAAAGTATCATGCTTTCTCTAAGTTATATTGCATGCACTCGTTAATTATCCAAAACAAACCATCTTGACTACGGTAAATGGTTTTAGTACCATAAAGACTTGTATTATGTACACCTGGCAACAACATTAAGAGGCTCTTATGGATAACCATTCCTGTTATGCAATGGAAAGAGACAAGGACCCTCACTTGTTAGATAAGGCTCGAAGGTGTGCAACAATTTAACAATCACATCAGTTTGAGAGGTTGTCCTTTAGAGATGATTGACAATCACCCCAAAAAATTATAATAAAATACAAGAAAGGACAACAGTCATAAATAACGAAAACAAGATCAGCACGGAACCTTAGCGTGCTCACACACGCCATAAAAAGCCCTGTCACGCAGTTCTGTGTAGTGGTTACAAGATGTCACTGTCTTAGACTTTCATTAAAAATGGTGCAGAATGGCCACAGGCCACGGATCAAGTTATAGTCAAAATCAGTGTTTCTACATTCACACAGGAACGAATAAAAGAATGACCAAACGAAGACACACAAAAGTGATGCAGCAAAAAAAAAAGTGATTCTTGTGACTGGATCAGTGGGTCTGTGTTAATGTTCAAGTTAAAAGTGGAGCTGGAGATAATCAATGTTCTGCTCCAGCCTGCGCTCACACTTGCTGTGGGATTTAGTCCTTGTACACAGGGTAAAAAAATCAAAGTGATGAGAATAGGCAAAAGACAGCTCTTTTTTCCTTTCTCTTACTTCCTCTCAGTCTGCGTGCAGTGTTGGAACTGGGCGAAGCTGAGGAACACCTGCTCCAGAGAAATCTGGCTCACACAGTAGTCTTCGATCTGATATTTCTCTTTTGCTGCCTCCAATGTCCCAAATACCTGTATGGGATTGGAGAGCAGTGAAGGAGAGAACATGAAAAAGTGTGACAAGATCACAGCCTGCTGGAAAAAAATATGTTTTCATGTCCATGTGTTTTTTTTATTTATATTGATTTTGTGTTTGTTTGTTTATGTTAAGACTTTCACAGCATCTTATTTTAACATGAGCCTGGAGGTTCTAACCCCAACCACATTGGAAAAGTAAAGTAAAACATAAAATACTTAAAAAAATAATAATAACACAAATAAAAAAAACAATAAAAATATATGGGTAAAATCCAGGAAGAAAAAGTCTCGTATGCTTCACATGTCAGTTAATGTGTAACATTTTGTCCACTAGATGGAGATCTAACAGCAAAAGTGCATGGGATGATTTTTTGTTGTTGCTGTGCTCATCAAGAATTTGTTGGAATTGTTCAATCATAGAATCAGCTTACTGTACCTGTGCCCAGGTTAGCGTTTTGTCAGTCAAATGGTAGTGCACCATTCCCTGGTGCTCATCTTTCAGCTGACTTCCTGTTGTAGAGAAGAACCACAGTTAGATCTACTTTATCACTCTTTTACAGAGATTTCCCCAAGGACATTCAACTTAGACAAAAATTGGGAAAATTTAACTGAAAGCCTGTGCCTTAGGGGTTGTTTTCTGCCCCATAAGACATCCTGACAAGTCTTACCAGGAAAGGTGCTTTCAATGAAGTCTTTAAAAAGAAGCAGGTCGCTGTCCTCCAACTCTGCCTCCACATGCACTTTAGCCAGGAGGGTGTAGCCACTACCAAACTTGCTTTTCAGGTGTTGGGGACTCCCGAGGCACTTAAACTGACCGTTGACCATCACAGCGAGCCTGGTGCACAGGGCCTCACACTCCTCCATGCTGGCATGTGAACACATCCAAGAGACGGACACATCGCTTTTAGCAACAACAACAAAAAAACAACTATTTTTACAAATAAGTGACATGTTTTAAAGACCTCACCTGTGAGAAGTGATGATTATGGCCTTGCCGGACTCCCGAGTGCGTGTAATGGCGTCCCACAGCAGCCTCCTAGCCACAGGGTCCATTCCTGTTGAAGGCTCATCCAGGAAGATGACCGGAGGGCCACCAATCAGAGCCATGCCTGCACTCAGCTTCCGCTTGTTGCCCCCACTGCAATTGGTCATAAGGGTTTCTTAATTACTTCAGCGGAATAATATCAGAATGAAAAAAGTACGGTCTTAGACAAAGATCTGCTGACCTGTAGCTGCGGACCAGTTTGTCAGCATGAGGCTCGAGCAGCAGCGACCTCAGAACATTCTCCACACAACCAGACACATACTTCTCTGGTATTCCTCTGAGCCGGGCGTACATGCACAGTGTTTCTCTTCCCGTCATATGGTCCAACACAGCATCAAACTGAGGGCAGTAACCTATGCGCTGCTGCACCTGCAATCCCAAAATAAGTTTTATAATGAAACTTCAGTGTGGAGAACGCAACATTGGAGAGTTTGTTACTTTAAACACAAAGGCTCCACAACTAGAGTAAATTTATTTTTCTTTTAGCACCAAGCCAGACTGCCTCTTGCTTACTTTCTTAATGTCCCTCAAGATACTGTATCCATCAATAAAGGCGTCCCCAGACGTGACGCTTTCATCCCCCGTCAGCATCTTAAATGTGGTGGTCTTCCCAGCTCCATTAAAGCCCAGGAGGCCAAAACACTCCCCTTTCCCCACAGCCAGAGACAGCCTGTCTACAGCCAGAAGAGTCTCCCCGCTGCTGTACACCTGAAACAGAGCAAAGCTTTATTCCAATCTCACACATATCAGCAGCCATGCTTATTTCAGCAGTAATAAGAGAAGCTGCACACCTTGCTGAGCTCCTGCAGTATGAGCGGGCTCCCAACCATGGACTCCACTACAGGCTGACACTCCAGGACCCTCTTCCTCTCTTCAGCCACATCTCTGTCTTCTGGTTGGAGCGCTGCATCCGTTATTAGGGGCAACTGAGAATGTTGGGGAGAAAAAAAACATCAAGTGTGAGTCGTTCTTTACATCGACATCCATTTTTCTGTTAAATACGTTAATAAAAGTAGTTAAAAAAATAACTATTCACTCTTTATATCCTCTTTTGCTCCTGGAGTTTAGGCTGAATATATGAAACCATACACACAAAATTGAAATAAAGTTCCATGCACAGTGCAAGCTGTAGTTGCTAAGGTACTTCTTCAAAGGAAAAGTCAAACAAATGCTCCAAAGGGCTTCTACCTGTTTGTGTCTGCGGCACAGGGAAGTGAGGAGTCGCCAGATAGTGTGGACACACTGCAGCTCGATGACAAACAGCAGCAGGATGAATACAACACCCTGCACTGAGAAGGCTACGAGAAAACGTCCAACACCAGGCTCTGATATCGAGAAGTAGTTTGTTTGGTATGTGATATCTAGAAAAAAGACGGAAGAGAAACAGTGAGCTACATTCAGGTGAAATCTATGCAGAAAGAAAATCAGGGAATTGTATCAGTGTTAAGAATAACTGATCATCAATCCATCCATCTATTTTCATAACCACTAATTCCCTTATGGGGTCGTGGGGGGACTGGTGCCTAACCCAGTAGTCAATGGGCGAATAACTGATCATCATTGCCAAATTTTTTTTGTGTTACATGTTTCGAGAACTTAAAATTTATAGCAATCTTCAACTACCATCCAGTGGGGGTGTAGCAGGAAAATGAACCAGTCCTATGATTCATGGGAGCACTATTTAAAGTCACACACACATCCCTCTCAATCCATAAACAGTCACTCACCAAACGTCCATTGTTTTATAACATGCTGAGGCTGTGTTGAAGTAACACTTACTTAAGAACTTGCAGATTGCTCCGCTGACAGGACTGGAGGTGCAAAATGAAATAAATTCATAGTTCTGGTAGAACTGGCTGAAAGACATGCCCAGGCAGTAGTTTGGGAAGATCAGGAAAACCTTGTCCAATAAGTGTGACATGTCCTGCAAGTTCAACTCTGTAATAAAAATCAAATCAAGACAGTCAGAGCTGGTGGAGATATCTTTTATGCACTTTCCCGATTCTCTCTCGTTATGCTTTATGCAGCGATAATCTGTTGAGTGTGTGCAGATGCAGGCATCTCCTCTTGCACATATGAAATCGCAGCAGCAATTTATTCATTTTTTACTTTTCACAGCAAGAAGCTTCACACATCCCACTCTTTATCACATGGGCTCTTCAATCAACTAAGTGTCAGATCCCAGAACATGATCCCTCACCGTCTTCCCACACATAAATATTGCAAACTTTTTTTGGTAAAAGACATAACTAAGCAAGTAATATTAAATCGATATTGAAATATATTCCAAAATAGAATGAACAGCACATTAGGTGTATATGAGCTGTTTGTTGAAATAATACATAAAGGTGAATGGCTTACTTCAAAATGACTTTTAAAGATAGTACACCAGCTGGAGAAGTGCTTCATTAATGCAGTTTAACCTTCAAAAGTTTTAGAGAGCCTCATGGACCACACACAGTGTCCACAGTGGGGACAGAATTTGATTAGCTGTTCTTAATAAAAGCACTTTCTGCTGTGGTAATTTCTCCTTCATGAATGATTACACAGGACATTTACCAAAGTTCTTCATTACTTTCGGACTTTAAGTCTGGTCCATTACTTTTATAAATAGCTGTAAAACGTTTTGACTTCACTCACCTATATTTTGGACAATTAAACGATTCAAAAAGTGTAAAAGTCTGACGTCATGGATGGACTATCACTCACCAGGGATTGTCATGATGGTGACGGCAAGAAAAGTGGCAGTGCCCGAGATCACATTGAAGATGGTGAGGCGTGTGTAGGCAGTAGCAGCAGTGGAGAAGAGGAAGCTGAGCAGGTACATGAGAGGCACAACAGCCCAGCCGTACAGCAACAGTATCAACAGCACATCTATAAGATGGCTGTCATCCACAAAAGCCTTGATACCGAATGCCTGAAACACCACCTACAAAACAAAAACGTGAAAAAATCTCAGCTTTTGCTACATGCTCTGTAAACAGTAACTTCAGCAGGGAGAACTCGAGGTCATAAGTATTTGTCATTTTTTTTATGAACTATAAAAAGATCTCAAACTGACCAGCATAAGGATGCAGGGAAGCATGAAGTTGATCAAGTCCCACAACAGGGCTGAAAACCAGAAGTTTGACAGGTAGACTCCGCTGACCTGCTGAACATGCTTAGACTTGATAGAGGACTCTGTTACAAGTAACAAGGCAAAGGTGCTGGACAGGGAGGCCATCCCATACATCAGGTTGATGGCAATGGCAAACCCCGTCTTACCCCTGGAAGCAAAACAGCAAGACAAGTTACGAAACAACACAAAAAGACACAGAAGACTAAGCACAATGAAATAGTGATGGTCATTTTAAGTCAGGAATTCCTCTTAAATACTGTAATTCAACATGAATTAACTTCATATAGAAGAGAAACATTTTTTTAGACTATTCTAATGTTGTCTTGTTATCCAAGACATGCCCTGCCCCTTCCCTACTCACTCTGTGAGCTGGCTTCGTGCAGCCTCAGACAGATTGCGTGGCATGGGAAGATTCCCTGTCTGGATGGAAGCATTAGGACCGGCCAGAAGCTTGAACAGAGCATTATCGACCATCATGAGGGCCGTCGCAGGCGTGTGATAACCCTGATTGTTAAAGTAGGCTGTTGCTTCGGCGTATTGGCTGCTGCTGCCACGAAAAGCAGCACCCACCACACAGCGCTCATTAAAGCTGCCGCCTTCCTCCTTGGCCTGCGTTAGGATGTAATCTGTGAAGTCTTCACAGCGAGAGAGAGAGAACACAAATCAATGAACATTCAACACTGACACGCAAAGGCTGTAAACCAGGTGGACCTGGCACAGATTCACAAAGCTTGTGCGTGAGGCCCACTTTAACCCTTTACTGAGAAGATAGATTCCCAGTTTGTGAATCTGTAGTTTTTTATGCCTCTTCTTGGTGCTTTGACAAAGAGTTTCTGATTCATGGTCCCAAGCTACAAGCCACACGTCTTTCTCATAGTGCTTACCCGTTAAATTGATGAGTTGACCATGCTGAGAGGAAAGCTGAGAGGTGTATGTGTTTGCCAAGGCCGAGGCGAGGGGGCCTGCTCCAGGCGGCAGGGCCACGGGAACCCTGGTGGCACCATAGCGACTGAGTGCAAGCTTCAGCTGAGGAGCGTTCTGGTGATTGGGAAAGGTGCGCGCCACAACTAAGGCCACGACAGTGAAGATCAAAGGGACCAGGAACTGAGCCACCATCACCTTCCAATTTCTCCAGCTGTACAGTGCCCTCTTCAGGAACATGGCATAGAACTGTTGCAGGTGTAGTCTGAACTGTTGGAAGAAGAATGCTGCAGGGTTAGCAGTGTGTGGTTAACAGCACAAGCACCGGTTCTGCTAAAAACCTACCCCAGTGTTCAGCTTTATGTTGGAGCAGTCCTCTGAGATGAGCGTGCCGCTGTCTGTGAAGTCGGTGACATCGGTCAGCCCGCTGATGCTGCTGTTGTCATCCGTGGTCCAGTCATGAGAGCGCCTCTCGTGCTGGTACTGCAGGGCGGGAAGCTGAATAGCCTGGATGTCTAAGCTGGAGTCCACCAGTTTCCCCACTCTGAAAACATGAATCAACCACAAATCGAATAAGTAACAGGATTTCCAATAGTCTTCAAAAAAGCAAAACACACTGTTTTCTTCAAATCACTTAACACATTAACATTATACATATATAAAAAGACTATGGATAGAAAGAGGTTTTTGGTACATTTTTTCAAAACTGTTAATTCTTCTTTCCTTTTAACACTTCAGTGCATTTGAGGGAGACCGAAGCTGCTGGCAAAAAAATAAGCTATTTCTGGACATTTGTATTTCAGTTTGAGAGCATGAACCCAAATCTAGTTACACTGAATACCCAACCCTCATCGGGTTGGACACAGTCCTTCGTTGCTTACATTGTAGTTTTGTCCTTTTAGTCCCTCAGTCTACCTTTTATACAATGTTTATATGTTAAGTTAAACTGTATGAGCAATAGCAAAAAAGAAAAAGACAAGGATGCGAAAATACCAGAGAGCAGTTTGTAGTTTGTTACGTTGTCATCTTTGATACAAGTAAATGGTCAGAAATTATGTCTGGCCTTCCAGCATCACATGTAATTGACCAGATATCCCCAGAACCAATTCAAATGTTAAGTATGTGTACCAGTGCAGGTAGCATGCAATGCCCATTGCAAGGGGAGTGGTCTTTTGTTTGTTTCCAAGGAAACAGAAACCTAGTGAACAAAGACATAACTGATGATCGAGCTAGAGGCAGCTGGAACTAAGATGTATAAGTAAAAGATGCAAGTAAGGAAGCTTTCAAACCCCACTAGTTAAATTTGGGGTTATTAATACTTTTTAAAAAATCAGGGACAATCATATAAATAAAAGCATGCCATCAAGTTTTTTTTTCTCATTGTTTGTTGTTTTGTGAGTGGGATATTGGACTGGACTGATATACTAATGGATTCAAATGTTGAACATAACCTGGCTTTCCATTAGCTACAGCATTTCAAATTCCAAGCAGCAGGAGAGTTATTTCCAGCATCAAATCCTTATCAAACACAAAGTCTGGCACATTCAGTAAATCTCATATTATTTTATCATATTATATCTTATATATATCATAATATATATTATACCTTACCTAAGAAAAACCTCCTCCATAGTGGTCACTGAGGCTCCAAAGCTGGCAATACCAAGCTCTTCTCTGTTCATCTCCAGCTCAGCAAACAGCAGTTCAAACCTGCAGGAAAATACACACAGTTACACAGTACCTAACAGTTTAGTACACTTAAGAAAAGATAACTTTGAAAAGATAACTAATGATCTGAATGGAATTCGTAGTTTAGTCTGTTATAAGATTTATAATACCCAGTCTCTGTGCACTGTCCTAATGAAAGGAAGCTTGCCGTCAAATTCGCCACCATGCACATTCATAACAATTATGCCACAGTTACATCAGGACAGTAAACGCCACTAATTCGATACCCTATATTTAGACATTCAGTAATTCACAGCTTCCTCTCAAACAGTGGCAAGTGTGACTCCAAACCATCGCTCTTTGCGTGATGCGTCATTGTAAGTACATTAGTGGGAATGATTTGAAGCCCGACTAACCTGTTGGTGCTTTCTTTCGGCAGAATATAAGACAGCTCGGCTCCAGCACTGCTCTCCAGCGTAGCATTTGGAACGTACATGTGCACAAGGCGAGTGATCTCAGACACATTACAAAGAGCGTCCTTAACTATCACCATGTGGTAACCAGCACCTGGTAAACAGAGGACATAGATGGATCTGGATCATTTACCACTCATGTAACCGCTGTGAGTGGTGAGTTACATTTATAGTTGACAGTGTTTGAAATGGAGGACTTCAATGTCTCACTTTTTTGTATAAAGAGACTCTAGTGTTTTTGTTAAAACAACTTTTTAAAAATTTTTAAATCCTGGTAGCTCCACATTTACCATATTTGTTTTTGAGGAAGAGTGGTGACCCCAGGCACTGCAAATCCCCGCCTGCCATTATGGCTATACGGTCACCAAGAAGGTCAGCTTCGTCCATAAAGTGAGTGGTGAGCAGGATTGTGCGACCCCGTTTTTCCCCCTGCAGGAGGTCCCAGGTGGCACGCCGAGCAGATGGATCCATACCAGATGTGGGCTCATCTAACATAACAACCTGAAAAGGGGTATCACTGTTGAGAAACAAGCACATAATCCACAAGTAATAAGAATGAAACGCACTTAAGGTCCTAACCCTGGATTCTCCAATGAGAGCAATTCCAATTGAAAGCTTCCTCTTCATGCCACCAGACAGGGTCTTTGAGCGAGCCTGCTTCTTGTCCTCAAGGTTCAGGATGCGGATGATGCGATCCACCTCGTCTGGAATTTTGTCTTTGGAGAAGCCTTTTAACTGAATATAAGACATCGAAACACTGAGTTCTCTCACTGATACCATCAACATCTACATTAGAAGGGCCACTGGAGAGAGGATGATGAGAATCTGAAAGAACTGCCTTTAATATCGTGCAAGATATTATTTATTTTCTTCCCCATAAGTGATTCATTAGCCCCATTTATTGTGTGTTATGCAACATCCAGTAAGCATTTGTTTGTATGTTTTAATGTTGGAAAATATACACAGAACTGACAAGATTGGACCACTCACTTCCCTAAGCATGCATAGGTGAATTAGTTTATGAGTAAATACCTGTGTGTAGAAGAGGAGGTGCTCTCTAACCGTAAGGTTGTCGAACAAAACATCGTGCTGGGGACAGAGTCCCAGACTGCGGCGTATCAGTGCCATGTCCTGACAGATGTCATAACCATTGATATAGGCTCTGCCACTGGTCGGAGGAAACAGACCTGACAAATGAAGGCAGCCGGGTTAAAACAGGTTCTGGGAGTAAGTATGATTTGTGTATGTGTTTGTGTGTACAACGCTTGCTTGAAAATATGTTCGGACTGTTAACCTGTGAGCATGGACAGTGTTGTGGTCTTCCCAGCTCCATTGTGTCCCAGCACCACTGTGATCTGTCCTTCAAACATGTTGAGCGTCAGATCTCGTACAGCCTGGCGCATCTTGTTGCCCACTTTGAATTCCTGTTAAGAAGAATATGATCAGAAACCAGAGGAACGATTGGCATGTTTCAGTGTGCTGAACAGTTTTTTGTTAATCAATTACTGTATCTCTTTTTTGTAAATGAATAACAAAGCTTGTTCCACCATATCACCAATGACCTGGACATCACAGGGAACATGACATGTTCTTGGTAATGTCGCAGTGTCACAGTGTAAAGCTGCTCACCTTAGTCAGGTGTTTTATCTTTATCCCAGAAACTAGTCCAGCTGGCTCTTCTTCCATAAACTCCCCTTTCAGAGCTTTTTCTGCATCCTCCTCTTCCTCCTTTTCATTCACCAAAGCCATGCGAGGGCTGCTGCACCAGTATGAAGGCTGCAGATAAGGGTATTAAAACAAATGATAAAATTGGTCTCCTCAGGAAGCTCTGCATATTGAAAGTCAAAATGTGGACACAAGTGGTGATCACAGCATGCGGTCACTTATTACTGACCCTGGTTAATTATGGGTGACACAAGGGAAGCAGAAAAAAACTGCAGACAAACATCATTATTGTTCATGTAAACTACAGGCAATTGTGTCCAGGGCAAACCACCCTTTGCTGCACTTCCTAAGAACCAGAGTCGCACCTCCCTGTACCGTGCTACAGAAACAGCATCCACATACACAATGGATCCAAAATGAAGTGCGTCAGCATCTAATCCACACCCTGCTGGCAGCGTCTTGAATTCCTGATGACTTGGAAATGGGTGAGCATGAGTTTATTTTTGTGAACGCATGAGTGTGTGTGTGTGCGTGTAAGAACACCATTTCGTGATGTTCAACAGTTGTTGTAGAGATAAATCTTATTTGGGTTGGCTGGAGAGACTCAGACGTTTCCTGTTTTTCTAACTAGCTGAACCTGAAGACTTCCTCTGGCTGATATGTTGAGACCTCTCATTTCTATTCCTCCCCACTTCCATCATGTCAGAGCCACTTTCACTGAACAGTGTTGTGACTTTCAAACATGTTCATCTTGGAGAAGATCTTGGCCATGATGTGATCTGATTGCGCTGGAAGTGCTAAATACCACTGACTTTCCACATACGGTAACACAAATTTCTGCAATACACCACATTAGAAAAAACAACACTGTCTGACATGATGAAAATATAGAAAAGTTATCATTATAAATACGACTTATCAAGACAACTCTATCATTAATGTAGACACCCTGATAGCTTGCAAGCGTGTGTCCGTAAGTATAATCCAATTTATCTTCATGCATCTTAGTTGGTTTATATATCCATGTGAATATATTCATGCATGGACTAGGAATTCACAAACCGTATTTTTATTTTTCATCATTATTATTTCAAAACATACCAGTAAAAAGAAGTAAGACGGCAGAGGCACTCCGTACTCCCCAGGAAAAACTGCCTCCATGTACCAGGCCACCAGGCCATACAGCACAGAGTCAAACAGCAGCAAGCTCAGAACCTGAGCCATAGAGAAGTCATCATCCACCGTTACAGGGTCAAACAAGTTAGACCACTGGATTCCGGTTCCTGAAAAGCAAGCAATGCATGAAATAAAACAGTCATTACTTTTAAGAAACATGTTATAGGATCAAAAGATATATATCCAAATCCAACTCTCACCTTTGCCTTCAAACATTCCTATGAGTTGTGCTCCCATGGCCATGGCCACATTAGATATAAGGCAGGCTGAAACCTTCTGGGAATGGCTCAGTAAGTCATAGCGTGGCCACAGGAACAAATAAGGCAGATAGCTGAAGAAGTACATGAATCCACCTGCTGCTGCTGCCACATTAGCTTTAGTCAGACAAAAAAAACAAGAATCAACAGAGGAAGGTAAAAGTCAAGGAAACAGAAAGAATATGCTGAATTGTGTTCCCACATGCCAACTTAATAATCAATGTCACACATAAACCAGCATTTGTACAAAGTATTTAGTGGGGTCTATTAATCCCCTTTCCCTGATTGACGGAGCAAGTCTGAATGTACTGTTCCGACTGGACATTGGTGAGAGCAAACAGAATAGGAAGTCAAGTAATGAACAATAAGCAGGAAAGACTTTCAAGGCTTTTTCTGCTATTTCCAGGAAACATGACAAAAACTGTCCTAAGACCTCTTTCAGCCTGCCTAGAATTGTATTGATCCATTGCCATTATCTGTTCCTGAAAATGCACATCAGTGGGTGGGCGAGATGTTTCCAAGCAGCCATGAGCACAAAAGGTAGAAAAATAGTCTTTTTGCCTTTGTTCAGATCGCCGCAGGAGAGTTTCTCTGTTTGCTCAGTCTTTTTTTTCAGGTCGACAAATTATTGATAAGCAGAATCCTCACGCCTCATTGAGACTTGAAATACAAGACAGTGTTATTTTTTGTAGGCTAACAACTTATTGCGTGCAGTGTCACGAAAAACTAATTAATAAGGAGGATTGATGGATTATCTGCAGTTGGCGCTGTGTAAATAACTCCTGCTATCAGAGATCACAACAGGATGATTGTACAGAAAGCCAGACCGATTGAAGAAAACTGGAAACATGAGGAGGACAGGAAGAGCAGAAAAATGAAAGAGAGACACCTCACGATGCCAAAGCGATTCAGGAAAAAAAGCATAAATTCATAACTAAGGACAAATATTTACAACTTCCAAACAAGAGGCATCATAATGCTTCTATTTCTAATCATAACCATTTAAATGAATGTTTCCCATGATTTATAAGTGACTGAAAACAAAATGATTGCTTCATTGCAACTGCTTTGTAAAAAGCTGCTTAAATATAGTCTGAGTAGCATTAGCAATCTGAGCTGCTTCGCTCAGAAAAGCTGGAGGCGGAAGGATGCTGGTCTGAAAGAAAAGCTTTGAATGAAGGAGAGAGAGCAAAGAGGGAGGGAGAAGAGGAGCACAAGAAAGAAGAGACTTAAATAGTTTCTTTCTTGCAGAGGTTTCCCTGGCTGAATAGAGTGTTTGGCTTCCACTCAGATTCAGAGCAATTCTGGGTAAGAAATGTTTTCCCCATTTTTTGGAAGGACTAAAACATTTTCATCGAACAGAATTGGCCCCACACAACTCATGTCTATTGGATCCGAAATAGGGTTACATTACTCAAACATCTACTTAAACTGCTCCTCTTAAAGTTATTGTGCTCGGCAGTACAGCAGAATTTTACGGACAAAATACTGCTGTAAAAGATGTAGAACAGAAAGTAGTTTAGAAATAATTTGCCTGAATGTAAAGTGCAATTTAGGTGACAGACAATGAAAAAGAAACACACATATCATCATAGAGTAAAGAGACTACCCAAAACAGCACCCACCTCTCGAGAAGAAGGCACTGATCATGAAGCTGAAGTTGATGGTGGCCACAGTAAAGAGGAGGAGGAAGAAGAAGACCAGAGTGGGGTCACTGTAGGTCAGCACTGCACCGTTAGGGCTCACCTAGAAAAAAAACATACTCAGTTTCAGAGGACTGTTTCAGCTTCCCTTAACAAATATAAAGCGGTGGATTACAGGGCTATATTGGATATTTATATGCCAGAGTTTATTTAGGTGCTTTCCCCTTTCATATACTTTTTATTAATATCTTCCTTCAATGTAAAATGCTCATCACTTCTTTGTGCTTTGGGAGCAAACTACTGATTCATTATTCACCTTGAAAAAAAATGTACAAAAATATGAAGAAACAAAAAACACATAGGCTCCAGCCCCCCTGCAACACTATATGAACAAGCAGTATGGATGGAAATTTCCAATTAGATTTTCCTGACTAACAATTTCATATATGATGCATTTTCAAATCTATCTTAAATAGGATTGCTTTGTGGCAATATGAAGTAGAAAAAGCACGATCTTTTGGACTCGTCGTTGTACCTGAGAACCCACGGTTTCCATAAATGTTACATTTCAGTGACGAATGAGCCTCCAATGATTAAAAAAGGTGTCAAACTAATGAGTAGCTTCTCTTTGGGCTTCGAATATTTAATTTTATTGCATGAATAAAACAGTCTGAAAGAGATAACCTGTTAAACTGCTCATCGTTTCAGTATTCCACAGCTTTATATCGCCTATCATAGCTGTTACTTAAGCCATCAAATATTTTGTAGCTGAAGTTTAGCTTACCACACTTGGTAAATACACCAAGAAGATAAACAGTTTCCTCACACCGAGTGCAACAGTAGATATTGACATTGTGTTACCTCTTGCTTAACAGAGACTGATTTAAAGTATGATAGGAGCATTGCTTGGCTTGAATGCCAGTTATGTAAAGATAACTCATAACACAAACTCACCTGGATGCAGAGGAGCAGCGTCACAAAAAAGACTGAGATAGAGAGAAAGAGGAAGAACATCAAGAACCAGGCACTCCAGTGGAGCCAGTTGCTGAGACCCATCATCCTCATATACTCCTGAGATGTACAGCAACAGGCAGAGATAGCGAATGAGTTTGACATTTGAAAGACAGATTTTGGTTCCTGTGACACACAAAAGCTCAAAAACACACCTTGAGCTTCCTTTCTTTTTCCTGCACCACAGCTCGCACTATGTTGAGAGAGGTGTACGTGAAGCTGAGCACCAGTAGAAGCGGCAGCTGGTTCTGAATGGCCAGGATGAACACATCATATATGAAGGCGGGGTACGGAAACCTGGACAGAACCACTCTGATCTGACCCAGCAGAGGTGAGGCAACTGTTCTGTTGTAGGAGCGCATGACAGCCCGATCCACTGCGTGCTGCACCGCCAGAAAGCCCTCTCGGAAATAGCCTTTTAAAAAATTGGCAGAATTAGAATATAATTAAAGGTCAGCATCTCTGATCCCTACTTCCACGAAACAGCAGAAACCCACATAAAGCCTGGCTTTTTTTATTCAGGATGTCACAATGACTTTGACTCAGAAGTATGTCTCTTTATTTATTTATTTTTTAATCCGATTTCATGCAAACATTTTTCTGGGATTTGTTTTTACTTTACAGCTGGAGAGTACGTATTCTGATCTACCCTTTATTGTTAAGTTGCAAAAGAAAAAAAAAAGGGCCAACAGCAGTGCTGCATCTTAAACAGCCACCGCACACATATTTACAACAAATTATGCCAAAGCACCAAAATCACAGATAACACTCAATATGTCAAAGATGTGAAGGGCTGTGGTTGCCATAGAGACATAGCCTGAGGGGGAAGTCTGTTGCTGAAGATTCAGGCAAACAAAAAGCCTTTTATTCATATAAAAACAATCTATAGAAAAGCTCAACACCCATTGGAGCCCTGAAAGATATTGTGAAGCTCTCGGGATCATCAACCTTTGTTCTGATTTTTTTAAACTAGTAAATTAGTAAACTCACCTGGTGTGCCGCCCCTTTTATCATACTGTTCTCTTGGGCCTGGAAGCTGAAAAAGTGGAAAGAGGCTGAGGGTGTGCCAGTCAAGGTCGCTATTCGGGTTCAGCTCGGACTTCTCCTTTGGTGGGGCGTTGCGGGGGGTGAAAGTGAAGCGAAGATGGTAGTTCACCTGTGAGTGGAAAAAATGAAAGGAATTGGAATTTCGAACGTTTATAAAAAAAAGTTTGAGTACACTAAATGTCCTGCGACGAATGGTTTGAGTTGGTTCTCACCTTTCCAGTGTGTTGTGAATAAAAAAACTATTATGCCATTCTGGACATTGATTTTGAAACATTTTGAGAGGAGATTTTTTTTTGTTGATCACCAAGGACGAAGGTAATAGTCTTAAATTCCCAGGATTCTTTCCTCTGAATTTGGACTACTAGTAGAGTTAAAATTCTTCAGATATGATTCTTTAACCTTTTCCTTACATGATGAGCATCAACAACTTTTTTTTCTGAGACTCTCAAAAATCCAAGAGACATTTTCAAAAATGACAATCATTTTACTTCTAAATTAAATTGTAACCCTCAAGGTTCAAGCTAAGGGATATCATACACTATATTTTCATCTGTAAAAAAGCAGGTATAATTGGTTTGGCCTTGTTCAGGTCATAATTATTCAGAAATATGAAAAAAATATCGAAAAGGTTCGCAATACTTTATAAACCTATCGTAATGTGTTACTTATTATTAGAGCGCAGCACCTAAACAATGCTACTTCAGAGGTTCGTTTTTCTTTCCTGAGCGATTCACTGCTCTGACTGCAACTTATGCTGGTTTCATTATTTGTTTTCATTCTTTGGCGGATTTTTGTTTATGGTTTGCCATAGTGACAGAGATAAAGGCCATGCAATAAGAGTGGAGGAAAAACTGGTTACAAACAAAGCTCTGAAGGCTTCAGTTTGTCAGTTTCTTCCCTTGTAGTCACACTGCACAAACCTGTGATGTCTCCTTTGTCAGGTTTTTCTGGCACAAGAGAAAATGTTTCCTGTCAAGTGATCACCAGAGCACCACATCTGTTAAGTCTTTCCCTGTTTTTTTTTTCCAAAACTATAGCCACAAAAAAGTAGCCCAGCCGGATTGAGAAGGTCGACTACTGTGCTCGAACCAGTTTTACCTGTTTATTTTCTCACTCCAAGAACGGTAAAGGGACACCCGGTATTTAGATGCAAAAAAGTGCATCTACCAGAGTAGTGACATATTTTTGTTTATTTTGTGTGTTGTTGTTGTTGTTTTTACCTTCAGTGGCAGGGGCTCATCATCATGAGTGAAGGGGTGCTCAAACACAACTGCAGCTAGTAGCTTTCCTGAGAGGGGGTCATTTTTCACATAGGTCTCAAACTGCTCCTCTGTCTCAAACCCACGCACTGAAACAAAGAAGAAACACGCACACAAACCAAGCACATCGCATTAGTCGTAGCGTGGTGGTATTCATCTCATGTATAGCGGCATCCATAACTGTCTCGTGGCCCGACCTTGCTTCTCACTATTCTCGCTGACAGGCAGGAAATTGGTGAGGATGTGGTCGGCATACTGAATTCTGTGACAAGGTTTTTCAATACTAAGGGTCAAATTCAAACTGAAAACAGTGCACTTGAACTGCACAACATCACATAAAAAAGGGGGAAGAGTTGTGTTTGAAGTGGAAACACAAAAGCTCATGATGACATACAGTATCTTGACCTGAATGGTTCACAAAAGAAGGAACAGCGAGCACAGCCATAACAGAAAAGCCTATTTGGATGTTACTGCTTTCAATTCTATCCGTTTCTAAAATGGAAGATTCCCTTCTTCTATCAAGCAAACACGATCTTGTTCAGAGTCTGGCAGTGAACACTAGTATTACACTATTGGGCTGGGGTTAAATCTGGGTCATGCTCATAAAATAAACACTTGTGTAATGAAACATTGAGGGCAGAGAAGGAAATGCAAACATCTGCCAAATTCTCAAGTTCAGACATTCCCTTGATACACTGCTGAAATGGTTATGATTGGGTTAGCACAATCATTCCCAAAGGTTCTCTCACCAGAGAGGTATATTTGCAATACCAAGGGGAACAAAACAAGAGCAGCCATGACAAACAGAAAGGTATGTGAAACTCCACACCTCATCAGCGTTGCTATAAACCCTTCCTTCAGGCATAATACCTAAGCTTTGTGAAATCAAAGACAGATTTATCTTACTTTAAGTGTGAATGACAACTCTAAAATTCTGCTTCCATATAATTTCCCTCCAGCTCTCCCACCAAAGGTTACAACCAGTTCAATTATTCATTACTTGCTGAGCTGGGATCTCAGATGGCTGTGCACAGGACAACCTAACACAGATCTGTCTGCTCATCTCCACTCTCAGCTTCACACTGCCGCGCAGCATGTGTCCATCTTGTTAATTGTCCGTCAAAAGGAAAGCAAATATGCCAACAGTCCACTCGCACAGCAGCCAGTCAGACTGGCTGTGGCGCGTGCGTGTTTGTGACTAACAAAGAGAAGGCATGCCGGTGTCCTGGGGGAGCAGATGAGAACACCACAGTGTATTTGCACTTCTCCCGCTCCCTGTCCTAATAACCCACTGACAAGGAAGTAAGGTGTGGCCCGTGCACTGCTGAGGACTGTATCTGGAGAAACCGGAATTCCCAGGTCTGGACAACAATGTTGGCGAAGGCTCTAGCTTTTGTTTTAATAGTTCCAATGGGGGCACACATAACATAAACTGCTGTTAATGAGCATAAGAAAAACAATAATAATGACAACCTACGAGCATTTCCTCTTTGGCTATTACCCACCTGAGGAGAGAAAAAGGCTGGCTCGCACATCCTCTGCCACCTGACGCACCACGCTGGAGTTCTGGGGAACGTAGGCCAACTGCAAGCTTCGCATGAACGGTGGCAGACTGTCAACGGCGAAGCTCTCGTAGATCGTGGCGTTCGGAAAGTCCTTAAAAGGAACCTTCTGACGGAGCACAATGAGGATGCCGGAGAAGAGCAAGGGCAGAAGTATCTCCACCAGAGTAACCAGGATCTGACGTTTCTGGAGGGATTCGTTCAACAGACAGCATCATTCATTTGTTTTTGCTTTTTAAGTCATGAATTAAAATCGACTTTTGTGAATATGAATTAAAGTGAAGACAGATGCAGGTTTTTGAAAGGACATAGAACTCCTCCCCCTGCAGTAGGGGGATCTGATTAAAAACCTTCAATTAAAAATAAATGGAATGTTTAAGCATGTTTATTTGTTTTTGGTTTGTTGTCAACTTCAAACAAGTTTTTTTTTTTTAATTTCCACATTTGAAGGCTGGAACAGTAAATAAGCTGACATCCTCCTACTCAGTGGTGGAATTCTAAAGTGCATCGGACCATTTTCGGTCAACCTGGGTGAATCAGTAATGATACATCCAATAAGTGCACCAAACAGACTGAAATCTGTTATTGCCAGGTAATTACATTTTTTTAAAAACATCGCAAATACAAATTCCCATCTTATGCTGACGACACAGAAATATGCTCCTCCACACTGACGTGTTCTCAGTAAAACGAAACTTAATTCTAATATGGCCCAGGTTCCTCTTGTAATTCAAAAACATTCTCATGCACAAAACAAAACCTGAGAAGTAATATGAGGTAGAAATCAAAGCAGGAGAACCTCCATGTAACACTGCTTCTCAGGGCTTTAACAGTGAGTTAGTATCACAATGCATAGCAGATAAGTCCCTCTCTCCCTTAAGCTCCAGTAATAACAAAAAAGATAAATTTGCACTTGCAGCAAAAAGAAGGTCCCTTTCTCCTATTGCCATTCCTGTGTTTGATCAGCCAGCCACTGGCATGTATTCATTTTCGTAATGCTGACTCACACTAAATACTTCTAAATATTAGCCTTAGCCTTATTTTATGCTATACTTTGTAGGCTTAGACCTGGTGCTGTGTCTTGTAGTTTCAGACAGCATTCAACAGCAAAGTCATTTAAAAATGACTTGGAGTGAGCTACTGATATTTCCAATGCAAATTTTGTCCACATTTCACTGTTTATTTAGTGCACAAGCTTGTTTAGAGTGTATTGTTTTTGTATTCTTATGCAAGTATGTAAGCCCCTTAGCCTCATTTAAAAAAGAAAAAGGTTAAACTCCTGTTTTCCTTTGACTAAGCTCAGTGGGTTGAGTATGTGGCCAACGTGCGGAGGCTCTATGCTCCTGTGTGTGTGGCCTGTGTTTGAATCCATCTCATGGCCCTTTCCTGTGTGTTTCTGCATTGGGTGTAGCTGAACTGGAAATAAGAGAACACATTCTAAAGGACAAACTAAAAACTTCACAACCAGCATTTGCTTTAACACAGACTTTACCAGAAATGAACTTCCCAATAAAATTCCTTATATGAAGGTAAAACATTTTAGAAGGCGACAACCCCCACACACATGCTATGAAGCCAACAGACCAGCCAGCATTGCTCAATAACAGAGCCATTGTGAAATCACTAGATGATATTAATGTTCGGCTTGATGCAAGCAGCCCATCAGAGCAATAGACAAACAGAAATGTTCCAGCATTCCAGCCATGTAGAAATCCAGCTTTGTTGAAATATGAACCGCTATCTTCTGTACACTGAGACACCTCGAATCATATAATGTGGTATTCTGGAAGCACAATAGAAAAACCTGACACTAATGGTTCTTGTCTGCTGATTTACTCCCATGGTGTATGTCACAACAACTTTGAGAAATTTAAAGAAGTGAAGGTACAAGAAGTGGCTTCTCAAGATGATAGCTATATAAGGCTGGAGAACGCATGTGACATCCCACATGTTCACTAAGTAAGCGTCAGTGTAATAACAACATAAAAAAAGCACACTGTAATGTCTCTGAAATAGCTGGATAGCATCCATTAAGTTGTTTGAGCAAAATGTTAGAAAGTTTACTGTATTTATGATGCCGCAAAAGCCCATTACTTAAATTCTGTTATACAGGCTGCTTCTCTGTAAACACAACTAGCAGCTGACAATACACAGCTGCCAAACAGCAAACCACACAAGCACTTAATAAGGAAAAGAAAAGACAAAATGCCGGCACATCTTCTTCAAACTCACCTGCTGAAGATAATTTTTCCACACAAGCAGTCTGAATTGTCTCACGATGGCCATTCTGAACAGGACAAAGATCACACGGTCCAGGAAGGTTTCTACAAGGCCGGAGGGAAAAAAGAAGAGTACGTTTTTAGGTTCTGGCCAAAACAAACAGAAAAATTATTCTTTTTCTTGAGATGATTGTGAGGGATTCTCTCAGTTTCCATTTAACAATAGAAAGAAGAAAACAAAAAGGAGAAGTGAATTTGAGCAGTCATCAGCAGTGTAATGAGCATGATATTTTAGCTCTTTACTATGACTGTACAGACATGAAAAAGTGCTTACATTCAAATTTTTTTACGACATGGGACAGAAAGGGCAGATAAGATATGAAAATGAGTGGGACCAGTGGGATCCGGGCGGTTGGCATAAATGGGAAAGAGGTTATTAAGCTGAGACAGGAATAATAAGTTATCGGAGGAAGAAACTTCTTTGTGACAAGTCCAGGCTTATTACACAGTGCGTGTATGTAATTGGACATATATGAACAGTGTGAGCCACATGACCCACATTGGTCTTATTAGAGTCTGGTAACACACACTTTCCCTCCCTCGGGACCCATTTTACAACAGACGACGACGACATCCTCATGTATCAACACAACAAACAATGCAGGGACTGTCTGCCTTCACACTACTTCCATTCATTGTGGTAAATCGGGAGTAATTCGACAAATTAACCTCTCAACTGAGCAGAAGACCATGTGCATCATTTTAAAAGCAGCCATTTCTCTTTCATCGTGATCTACGAAACAATAATAACATAGGCAGTTAAGGACGTCGACCTTTTCCTCATAAACCAAAAAAAACGTCTTTCTATTCTTTGATTGGTCCAAAGCAGTTTTCAGTCCATCCTGATTGGATAAGTCACCTGCTTGTCAATCCAAGGAGTCCGATGGCTGCAAACGATGGAGCTACGGTACAAAGCGATGGATTTAAGAATCATCGGTCAACTTCCTAATACAACCTAACGCCACACAATTAATCGTCTCTCCCCATTTAAGCTACTATTGGTTGTCTTATTGATAAATTCGATACGTTACCTCAAAGACGAGGGTTTGAATGAAGAGCACAAGCGGTGGTCCCTCTCCAGTCGAGGTGAAAACAAGTTCCTCCTTATTACCTTAAACAGGTAACGAAAACATCACTGCGGACCTTCAAACTTCACCGACAACATCGATGCTCGGGCGTTCTGTGTGGAGCAAAGGATGATGGCAGCCCGGTCCAGCTTTGTCCCCCTCCAGTTTGCTGCTCGCTAGCAAGGCGATGACATAGCACCAGCGGCTGGATAAGCCTGTAAATTCATGGTACAAAACCCAGCGGCAAACGTCAACAAAACATGTCACGTGATCAGCAAAGAGCAGAGCATCACGTGATCCCAACAGCTGGACTGCCCTGTGTGTAATACATGAAAACTGTGTGTTTCTTATGTATGTTTTGGGCTCGTTTTTTTATTGTGAAAAATAAATTCGCCCTCGTTTTTCTTTTATCGATTTCCCTTTGTCTTAGATTAGATTACAAGTAACCTGGATGTATGACAAACATAACCCAATTACAACATGTGATTCCGGCTAAGTCTCTACTGCCCCAGTGTTTGTTTTTATGCAGTCTTCTCATTTAATTATTAGTGTGCTCCATTGGGCTTGGGAACTGCAATTCCAACCTTACACTACAGGGAATAAAATAATTACTACATTTAGAATATTAATCAATACAGACAGATCCTATCATTTCAATAATTGATCTTGATTTTGCCCCTCAATTGTATCATATGCATGTCACATCTTAATTGATTAGTTCAGATTACACACAAACTGTGAGATACCGATGATGTAAATGCAGCATTCTGTTTATTGAAAACTCTTCATACAGTATTTACACCCAAAAAACATCTAACAGCTTTTTAATTTGGAAATCTAGTTTATAAAATAAAAATGTTATTACTTTAAAAAAATATATATTTCCCCACTGTGGGATAAATAAAATCTTAAATTCTATAATAATGCACGCAGCAATATTTTTTAACCAGAAAAAAATAGCTTCCTTGTGGAAAAAAAATGCTTGTAGAATGCGGCATAAGCAAGCTGCCAAACGTACAATGGGTATGTATTACTAATGAGTAACGATGAGTCAGACCAGATACAATTACACTGCAGGTTCATGTGCTGGCAAAGCATGAAAACCAAAGATTACTTCTTATTTTTTTATTATTATTTGAACTTAGTACAAAAATTACATATTCACATCACATCCGGTAAGAAACACTGTTGGAAATTTGTTCTGACAAAGAAACCTACCTTTTTGGAATGAAGCAAGCACAATTTCAAGTAGTAGTGGTATGTTCTTTGTCTTACACCCCCACTCATACATACAGCAATATGTACATTTGAATAACACAGGAGATAACCAGTCTGAAGTAACAGTTCTTAATGTATTTACAGTCAGTCACAGTCATTATATACTCTGTATCCTGAATCAGGTGAACAGGACTTAAAAACCCTTTTAAAAGTAATCATTTCTCCTAGTGTCTAAACTTTATGTTCAAGAAAGAAATGTGAATTCATAAAAAAATAAACTTCAACACTGATCATTCAAGTGTGAGACCAGTTACACATTGAACTGCATTTGTGATGACAGATGTGCTTGACCTGATTCAGACAGAAGGTAGTAAGAAGTAAAAACCCATCAGCATGTTTGGGTGTCATTTTGCATCAGGTGCCTAAATACATTCAAGCTTGATACTTATGCCTGCACCGACCACAGTTTGGGTATTAAAGTGAGAGTTGTATGAGCCTCATCCAAAAGGTGATGCTTCATTTGGCTCCACTATCAGCACACCTTAGGGATTAAGGTGCAGTCTCTGAGGAGTTACTGATGGCATTAGTGCCACAAACCAACTAAAGCATTAATCAGCAGCAGTAGCTGGACTGCAGTCAATGCCGATTAAATTACTAATTTCACAGCCTTTTCTTTCTTTTCTTTTTTTTAAGTGTGACCCTGAAGACACAAATGGCATCACAGTACCTTTGGCAAACATACAAATGACAAAACTGAACATGAGGATTGACATCATTTTTTTGGCTTCAGGTGCAGACATTTTCAATTAGATGACAGTAATCAAACCTTTTTGATAAAGATATAATTATAAGTTCACCAAATACAAGACTGGTTCTTGTACAGACACATCAGAGACTACCATACCCAAAACAGACAACAACACGACAGCTGTGGATTTAAATAACAATGGACACTTTCCCCCTCAACAAAACAAATCCATTAGGTTTCACTTCTTTTTACAGCTATTTAATGTGATCTGAGAGGCTGTTGTAGGAGGCTGCAAAACAAGTGAAATGGTAACGACTGTACCAGGCTCCTGAGCAAAGTCATTTTCCAGTGGTTTCAGAGCTGATTACGAGTGTTTGCGTATAAGAGGTATTTTCATTGGTCCATGTCTGTAAACATGTAAATGAAATGTAATGTTGTAGAAAGGCAAGTCTCTGGGCAGTTTCTATTCGTGCTTTTTCCTCCTCTCCCTTGTCTTGTAGGGTAAACATCTTCTGATCTCCCTCCAGACTGTCTCCGGCAAAGAGAATGTTAAGAACAAAAGAAAAGTGCTGGAGGCTAAAAACTGAACCGCCTTGCCAGTGAGCAGGCCAGGGTCGTTGAAAGATCCCGGTCTACAAACTCAGAAACCCTGCATTAGTATAATCCTCCTCACCATCCAGATCCTCTTCTTGCCTCTCCACCTCGCCCCCACTATGAGCTGCTATGTTCTTCCTTTTCACTTGCTTGGTGGAGGCGCCCCGGGGTCTCTGCATGGGCACTAAGAGCCGGAAGCCCGGCTTGGCATTAGCCGAGGCTCCGCCCAGGGAGGTGGTGAAGGTTTTGAATGTGCAGGGCATGAGGGAGGAGGACGAGCACGTGGACGAGGGGCTGATGCTCTGGACCGACGAATATCCTGAAGTGTTCATGTTTGTAGATGAGGAGAGGGATTCTTGACAATCCTTGTCAACCCCGGCTTCTGCCTCACAGAAGCTCTCCTCGTCGCTGGACAGAGCCCGGCAGTGCTGGAGGCCGGCATCGGCATCTGCGTCAGTCAGCGGGTGTAATTTGATGGATATCATAGAGGCTACAGAAACAAAGAAAGACGGTGATTTTATAGACAAAAGATGAGGTACCGTGATTGTTTCACATTTGACATTTATTTCAACGCTCTTCTATGAAAAAGGACAATACGACTGCTGAGTCATTTCTGGTGCCATGTCCCATTAAAAGAGAAGCTAATGCATTATTCTCCTCCTCCGCATATAGATTAGTTCATTTATATGCATTACCTTTCAGCCCACTAGTGATCCCACTGGAATCGACCTGTTCAGCCCCTTTTCTATTTCCTGCTCAAACTCACCATCACCATCTTTCTCTGCATCGCTGTCTTGCTCGTGGTCCCCCTCATAACCAGAACAGGAAGAGTCCAGACTCCAGTCTAGGATGTCCCCGAGCAACATCTCCTCCTGGTTGGACAATTCTGCGGTGGGCGTGGCCACCAAGCTGCCTCTGTTGGCCTGCATGCTGTCATCGCGTCTCCTTCAGAGAAAGTGAAGGGTTACAGTGAGTCACAGGAGCTTCTCACAGGGGAACTTTAATCCTATAATATATGTAATATAATATATATCCTATATGTCACTGTGGGATCAGTCCGGTTGAGAGCAAACCGATTATTCCAACTTGAAATCGATGTGCCGTGCTTCATAGCGGCCGCTCTGACACTGAAGCCCCTATGTATTGGTAGCTTGCTTACCTTTTGTTGGTGCTTGAAGGAGATGCCATGAAAGTGTGTATGTCTGCTGGTTGGCTACTAGTAGGACTGGGAGGTTCCATCTCAGGTTCCACCTCAGGAATCTCCAAAATCTGACAGAGCTCTTTAAAGTCCATCACCTTAGAGAGGCAAGAAAATAAGATTAATAAAAGACAATAAACTATTCTTCAAATCCAAAACAACAAATTCCAACCTTCTCTGTACACCAAAAATATTTGAAATTAAATTAATACCTTTTCTTTACTGATTTGTTGGTAGACCTCATCTTCAAACCTTTGCTTGACACCAGTAAGAGAGACGTGCCTGTAGTCTTTGGGAACATCTTGACTGAAACTAAAGAGAGTGAGAAGAAAACAGAGAAGGGGTTAAACTTTAAAACCCTAATGGGCATCCATTTTCTTGGTAAGTATCATCCTACATTTTTTATCATCCTAAGTTTAATCGATGTGGGCCTGCTGAAAACAGCCAGACACGTCATCAATCAATTCCTGTTATTTCTTTTCATGTTGCAGAGAAGGCTGAGGTCGTAATCACGTGAGTCATGATACAGTCACAATTCTTTAAATAGACTGAAGCATTTTCAAAAACATCGAATGGACTTTATTGATATTATTTGTTTGTGTGTCAACTTCATCGTTCGCATTGGTTGGCTTCTATGCAGTCAATAAACAGCTGAATAAACAAAGCAAACTATCAACTAGATATATGTTCATCCCTAGAGATCTTATTCTTGTTATATATTTTTTAGGTTGTCAAACAGAGCTGGTGTCATTAAACAGTAAAGGAAACTATGGCCAAATGTTTTTTGTATTGACAGAGTGGTTACTGATTGATGAATCATAGCTTTTAAGTTTACAAGTAGTTGAAAGTTTTCAAAATGCCGCCAAAAGCAAATGAATGTGCTAATAAAAGCTGATAAAAGGTTTTAGTACTCAGTAAAACTCTGAACGTAACAAACTAGTTAAGGGTGCAGACAAAAGAAGGGTGTGAGGGAATTACATTGCTTGGCTACGTATCCAATCAAACACACAAGCAACAAAGATCTTACCACTTGACATAGAGCAGCACAGAAAGAGGAACGAGGTCTTGCTTGGAAAACCCTGTGTAGTCAGCTAACAGGGCGGGCCAGACAGGACCTGCAGAGTAGGACGACACATGCATAAATTAAGATGAACATAAACTTTACACTCAGCTAAGATGATAAATTTCCAGGGTTTTGACAGCATTATTTGGCTGACTTAACACAGCCTGATGTACGCGCTGCGTGCGGGTGGGAGCTGCCTTACCATAGTGATGTATGGCTCGTGTGAGAAGCAGCGCGGCACAGGCCAGTTTGGCAGGAGGTGGTGTGGCCAGAGCAGAGTAGAGCAGAGACAGCTCGCAGATGTAGCTGAAGAGGTGGGCGGTGCGCCTCTCCAGAGGGAGCAGGAAGAGCAGCACATCCCCGTAGTCCAGCAGCGTGGGGCTCTGCGGATGGTCAACAAACCAGATAAATGACAACAATCAACCCCTTTGCGTGAAGTAAAACCCTTCAGTGCTACCATGATGCTAGTTACTGCCCTTACCCTGATTTTTCCCTCCAGAACAGACACGACCTCTCCCATCATCCGGACCAGGTCCTCATATTTGTAAGTGTTGTCTGTGAGCCAGACAGCCTCGCGTATGGTCAGGATCTCTTTACTGATGTAGCTGGAAAGCAATAAACCAAACCAGTGTTACTTTGTGTAAAGGCCGGACGAGGATTTTCCCCCCTGTACAAACTTCATCACAAGACGTGCGAACAGTGAAGAGTCACTGTGAATTATAAAGGGGTGACAGAGGGTCTTGGTATGTAGGTTTCCTCACCGTGTGCAAACGACCATGCAGGCAATTCCCAACAGCTGAAGGCGAGCCTTGGGAACAGAGCGCATGGACAAGTAGCGATCCACACAGCCTACTGTCACGTGTAAGGTTAGGCTGGAGAAGTCTTTCATGGTGGTCACCTCTACCAGCCAATCGACAAGGATGTACCTGGAAACAATAAAAATCACGTTTTATGGGCAAAACTGTATTAGCCCAAATCCTGTGGTCTAGAATGACATTTTAATCATATTTCCAACTCTGATATTCTTGGAAAGTCTTTTCACTGACGTCTGCCATTGTCCTGTTTAATCAAACCTTCAACGATGGGATTAAAGACGAAGTCTAGATCATTAAAACACTATGAGTCACCGCAATGAGCAACAGGAATGCTGAATGGCCGGGGTAGATATGATTAATCAGCAGACACTAATTGTTTTACAGTGCAGGTCCTGCTCCCGTTTACCTCATGGTGTCTTTGATGCCTCTTCTGAGGACGCCCTGAGCACAGCGCTGTGATGTCGGAATAGAGGAACCAAAGAGCTGTGCCACTAAGTCGGAGCATGCCCTGGACTCCAGGCCAAGTGGATTCCCAGTGCTGCACACTTTGGCCAGAGACAACTGAGGAAAGAAGACTAAATGTTAGAATACACATCTCTGAATGGCTAAAGAGGATCTGTCAGCCTGTTGAACTGTGCTGCACAAAAAGACAACAACAAAAGCTGAACACTGCAATAAGCTGGTGGTTCAGATGAGTCATATTTTTGTGACTCACTGGAGAGAGGAGAGAGAAATAAAAGGATATGTCAATAATTGTCAAGCCCTCTTGACACAGCACGATAGCACTTTTTAAGCTTCTTTATGAAAAGTGGCAAATGAAAAAACATAATTAAAAAGAGAGGAGGCAGATGATATCCTGTCACACAGACCCTCCCCTCGCCCTTCAGCCGCCGCTGCTACAGTCAAGGAGCGAGGGAGATTACAGCTTCCAAATTAGCAAAGAAACCACTCATATGATAAAATAACAACACGGTTAAAGGGGGCGATTTACTGAGCGAATCACACACCTGCGCTTCCCAGCATCCTTTGCTAGCATAGTCCCTGAGGGTCCGTATATACTGCAGGTACCTGCCCGGATCTGCCATCTGAAATTCAAACACACAATCAAAACATCTGTCAGGACCAACTTTACTATTCAATTTATAGACTTCCGCTCTACTCGTTTTGAATTTTTTAAGTAGTTAATTGAATTGACTTGATCACTTTCCAATAGGAGCATTAAATGAATGACTCAAACTCACGGCTGCTTTACGACTGTGCTCCCACAGCAGGTATGAGCTCTGTAAACAGCCGGCTTGGGACGATTCCTCCAGCATCGATATGGCATCTGAACGCTTTTCTTCCTCCTGAAATTAATTTTCGTTGAAAAAAAAAACGGTGACAACTGTTAATAATAGTGTGGTGAACATTGATTGGCTAAACGTGAGAGCTACTGGTGTGTCAGAGTGTTAAACTATGCAGCACACCAAGGCATTGAACAGAAAACACTAACACAGCAACGCAGGACAAGTCTGACAGCATCACTAATTTACATTTTATTAGAGGCTAATAGAAACTGGGCCAACCACGCCCTGGAAATCAGACCCAGTCCCACTCTCACTCACCCCGAACAGTAGCAGAACTCTGGCCAAACAGTGCAACAAAGGACCCCGCTTTTCCTGAAGAGAAAGGGAAAAAAACAAAAGTGATCAGCATACACATCATGTGCCCAACAAAGGAATATTATATCATATTACGACTGTTCTCCTGAGAAATTCTGCAAATATAAACAAATTAATCATTTTAAACTTGAATAAAAAAAGTCCTGTGGATGTAAATACTATGCATTGTATGTTTGAAGTGTGGTCACTGCAATTCCTTTGAGCAGTAAAGTAATTCAACTTTGTTCAGAGATTTGAGGAGCCAAATTTATTGACTGTTCACACATTGGCATAGATCTACATAATTTAGCAAAATCATCTATGCTGATCATCTATTCAGTGCCATCCATCTTTTTCGGCTCATTGGGGGTCAGGTCGCGGGGATTCACTGCCATCAATCTCAAACTTGTTTTATCAGTACATAAACTTTGTAAATAAACTGTAGAAAAATCAGCCATAGAGCAACACTGAGATGAATGCAGCTTTATTCTAATGTAGCTCAAATATGGAAGCACTTTCCCTCTGAGCTGACAGCTAGCAGAACCCACCATGTTGTTTTCACACTCTGCCTTGAGGCGGTCAAACACCACAGCCTTGCAGCAGCTGCCAGTGGGCGACCATGGCGGACGGATGAAGACCCAGGCAAAGGGATCGGCTTTGGGAGAACGCAGGCTCTCTGCCAGGCTGAAGAAGTGCGAGGCCTTTCGGCCACAGACATCAGCCCGCCCCTCATCACTCAACAAAGCTGAAGGCAAAAAGAGATGACAAGAGTGAAGAGCTGTAATCATTTCATCAATAGGATTTTGTCTGTTACATTGGTCTGCCCCCCTTTCATCCAGCATTGCCTTTGAAGCCAAAATTTACTGGAGAGACAAAAAACCAACATACAGATAAAGTCTTTCACTTACGTCCTTCATTGTACAAATAAGCAATCCCAAGTTTCACAGCTGCCTCAAAGTTCCCTTTCTCAGCAGCTCTGAAATGAGATAAATTCAGGGTAAATCAACATATAAAATTCAACGTAAAAAAAAGAAAAACAGTTTGATTAAAAGAACTGTACCTTTCAAACAGCCACAAGGTGTTGGGGGATGGCCATGTGTCCCTGAAACCAACCTTGGCCCATACACTGGAGTGGTTATCGACAATGTCCCGCAGTTGAGAATGAACCTGTAGTAGATCAATATGTTCAAGGCCAAGAGGAAAGAGAGAGAGAAGAAGATGCATTTAAAGGAGGATCAAATCATCCCTAGGACAAGCTGTGCCTTTCAAAGCACCCGTAGGTAACAGGGTAGTGGTTACGCACCGCTCTGACAGACAAGAGGTCCTCTGCTGAGAGACACTGGAGCACATAGAGAACTATCTCCTCCGGCAGGGACAGCAGAGTGAGGGCTGGAGACCGTTTACGGAGCCGCTTCCGCGCTGGAACCGAGTAGCATTTTGAACAACGGCAGTGGACGACTGTAAGAAAAAGGAAATGTATGTCACACAACTTAGTTTTCAACAAACTATGGAGGGGTAGTCTTGAGCAGTTTTTCTCAGAGTCCAAGACATAGGCATACTTTTGTTTGTTTGAAACACACACAATTTAACATATTTGTGCAAAGTCAACTAACTAATTCTCACATGGATGCCAAAATGCATATTAACTCTTCATTAAAAGCAGGTCAGTGGTTAGTTGTATTAGCAACTTGTGGATATATAGTAATAACAGAAATTAAATGTTGTGAAATGTCAGGAAAATATTTTTTCAAAGAATACAGTTGATTCTGTTCATGTTTTCTGCTTGTCTCACATCATCTCACTTTTTTCAATATAAAGAATCAACAATTTACTTAAAATGAATACAATAACTCAAAAACATTTCCACCATCACCAACAATCAAATCCTGCTTTAAAATAATAAGCAAAAATAATCAGAGAATCGTTTAAAAAATGACTACCACAAGACACCCCCAGGTGGTCTTCTCAAAAGCTCAGACTGAATATAAAAAAAAGTCAAATTAGCTGACAGGAGATTAGCTTTACAGCATTAAATTAGCCAACAACATTAAACTAACTCAATATTAAGAATGATTTCACGACACAACTGTGATATATCGGTGTCTGGATGGGAGCAGTCAAACCGAGTGAGCGCCCAAATTTCCCTCCTGTGGCCCATTCAAAAGCAGCGTTAAGTAACGAGTACATTTATTTAAAATCCCAAGTGAGAGTGTGGTTTTTAACTACAATACAAAAACAATTAAATGTGACTGCAGAGTTTAACAACACATTTAGCAGTTTCACTAAACGTTACAGGGGTTTCCAGTCGGAATCGATCACTACTTCAGTTAACGTTTGGGCTGACTAGCTGCTAGTTACCAGCCCAAACTCTATGGGTACAATTCTAAAAATACAAGCTAATTAACTATTTACATACATCTAATAACTCGTAAAAGCTATGGCAAAGAAACCAAGAATAAGTAAGGTTAAAAACTATACTTACCACCCGCTTTCATTGCAAGTATAGTGATCCGTCCTTGAGTAGCGATTTCAGCAAATACTGTACTGGGCACCGATTTAAACGTTGCAAAGCAACTAAAGCTAAGATTACACACAGGCAAAATTGACGCTGCAACAAAATATATAGTGTAACAGTGTGCGTTGTGTTGGAATAGCTGGTTAATAACTATACAAGTTTTAAGATCTCGTCTCAATTCAAATTCAAGCACGCGTCCCTTCATGGACCCGCCCCAAAAGTACTCTAGGACCGCCCGCGCTCACTGTTTAAACTCTATATTCAATTTGATTGGTGAAGAGTGATTACGCCCATCTCGAACCATTTCGTCCGTTTATTGGACACTTGTGAGAAACATAGCTCGGATTGGCTGACTCTTATAAACTCTGTGAATGTCAGAATCTCATTGGAAAACGTGACGCCATTTCGAAGTACGCGCTCGCAAGTAGAGGAAAATGATTGGCTGACCTGAATATGACGAGCGTTCCCGTATCCACCTTTTTAAAGTGAACTGTGGGAAATGTAGTTGGACTGAAAAATGCAGTTTAAAGGTCCCTCATTTAAAGGGACAGGTACGGAGTAACCGTTACCGATAAAGAGAAAATGCCAGTGCCTCCATGGCAAGCCGTTTTAACATAAATTCGGTTTTGCCGCCCTTACATTCCAGATATCTCAAATTGTATTATGACTAGACGTTTTAGCGATTTAAGATATCTTTAATTATATTTTGACTAGTCAAAATACCTATTTGAGATATCTCTTTAGGAGGTCTCATTAAACTGCTGGATCACAGCAGTGTCCAATCAGCAGCATTCACACAGGACCAAGAGGGATGTAAGGTTGGGGCCATCATGGAGTTCATATTTGGTTTAACTCTCTAAACATTTCACTTAGCTGTATTTTGTATGTTATACACACGTTCGGCCAAACAGACGTCTTTATCTTGTTTTTGAAAGCATATTTTCAAGAAACACTGACGGTAATCAAGCAAGGTCAAGAGATTAATGGATCAGTGAGATTATATGAAACACAAATAGTACCCTTGTGAACCAACATTCTTTCTACCAAAAACGGTAAACTGAGTGGAACAGAATAGTGCTTTAAAAGTGTTTCAGCTGCGGGATGGGGCTACCAGCAGTGCAGAGCTAGCTCAGGAATGGCAGCAGGCAGGTGTGAGTGCATCTGCACGCACTGTGAGGCGGACACTCTTGGGCCAAGGCCTGGTCTCAAGGAGGGCAGCAAAGAAGCCACTTCTCTCCTGGAAAAACACTGGACTGCTGAGGACTGGGGTAAAGTAATTTTCTCTGATGAATCCCCTTTCCCATTGTTTGGGACATCTGGAAAACGGCTTGTTTGGAGAAGATGAGGTGAGCGCTACCACCAGTCTTGTCTCATGCCAATTGTAAAGCATCCTGAAACCATTCATGTGTGGGGTTGCTTCTCAGCCAAGGGAGTCTGCTCTCTCACAGTCTTACCTAAAAACACAGCCATGAATAAAGAATGGTACCAGAAGGTCGTCCGAGAGCAACTTCTCCCAACCGTCCAAGAGCAGTTTGGTGATGAACAATGCCTTTTCCAGCATGATGGAGCACCTTGCCATAAAGCAAAGGTGATATCTAACTGGTTTAGGGAACAAAACATAAAGATTTTGGGTCCATGGCCTGGAAACTCCCCATATCTTAATCCCATTGAAAACTTGTGGTCAATCATAAAGAGACGGGTGGAAAAACAAAAACCTAGGACTTCTGACAAAATGCAAGCATTGATTGTATTACTGTATGTGATGACAACATCTGACATACACACATGGAAACCACACACGTGTCATTCTCAATACTTTTGGCCATGACTGTATATAGCTGAGAACATGACATGTTTTGTTTAGAGACTGGAAAGATTATCTTTTGGACAATCAAAAAAATGTTTCAAAATGAAAGAATGTGAATACTCAATATAGGATAAACAGATTGCAATAGTTTTTTAACATCAGGGCAAATAGAGGAATATAATTCCATCCATCTATACATACATGGATGAAGACATTAGCCAGACTGGAAAATCAGGCTATAGAAACGTATATGCAAACATTATATTGGCGACATGCAGCGATACTCCGACAGCCCAGTTTGGGATGGATTTCGCAATCAGAGGTTCAGCTCGGCTCCTTGCTGCCGCACATTACGTTTCAGCCCGTATTTCACCAGAAAATGTGCAATTTCAGCGATTTTGACAATTAAAATGATCGCAATTAGTCATACATAAAGATCGGCGGACAAATAATGTAGAGGCATGGATGCGTTTTGCTCTGGACACAAGAGGGCGTGAGTGTGTTTGAATATATGTCTGTGTGTAGGTGTGTGTGTGTGTGCGTGTGGGTGTGGCTAGTTTGGATGATGGCCTGATAATCATCACCTGTGTCTGCCCATTGAGTTTGATCTTTTGTTTGTGACAGAGAGGGTAGACATAGGGGCCGATATTTTCTGTTGACCGTAACGCAAAGTAAAGTAAAAAGTAACTGCAAATGAATCTGAAAGTAGCAAATCAATAAGCCAAAGTATCTTTATATTCAACATAGAATCTGGTCAATGTGTATGTGAAAGAAGAAGAAAATTAAACACCCTTCAACCTGTATTGGAGCCCATTTTCATTATTCAAGTCAGCGAGTCATACAGAGCCCTACATCCTTCCCTCAGTGACTACTAAGGATTGCGATAGTCACCCTACAAATAATAATATGTCATCTTATGTTTTGTCTTGTGAAGATGACCGCACGTCCCATAAATATATATACACAGCTATATAATTACAGTTTCTGTGGCTGTGAAAGTTGAAAACCTT